GCAAACCAGCCAGGAGATTTGGAAATGCTCGAGCTTCAGCGAGTAACACGCCGTTGACGGCACAGCGCAGCTCGTGTTGTGCTTAGTTTAACAAGCTAAAGGAAGAAAGACCCCACGCTTGCTTACTGACTGGATGCAGAAGACATTTTTAAAAAAGCAGAACAAAAGGAAATATATAGAGGAAAATCAACCTTACTCAAAAAGTACATGAAGAAATTGTTCAAAAAGCGCAGGAACAGAACAAGTAATACTAACTGTACCCAAGTCGTGTCTGCTCACTGTCAAAGTGCTGCAGGACGTACCTGCCTGGCAGCTCTGCTCTCCATCCTTTCTGCTATGCGACCGCTTAGTTTCCATTGTACAGGAGGCACAATTTGCTGGAGAGGAGGCTGGAGTTGCCTCCCAGCTCGCTCCTCGGCAGCTGCCTCCTGTACGCTCGCTCCACTGAGTGAGGGTGGAAGACAGGGAGAGGAGAGTGTAAAGGGAGAGGACGAGGGGTGACAGAGACAGAGAGAGAGACAGAGAGAGAGACAGAGAGAGAGAGAGAGAGAGAGAGAGAGAGAGAGAGAGAGAGAGAGAGAGAGAGAGAGAGAGAGAGAGAGAGAGAGAGAGAGAGAGAGAGAGGCGGAGAGCGCAAGTCTACCTGCCACAACCCATCAAGCCAGCCAGCCTTGGAGACAGCGCCAAATCAACAGCTGGCCCCTGTGTGATGTCAGAGCCTCAACAACCAGTCACGGCGGCCGAGGCCGGCCGGCACTACAGAGCGGACTGAACCAAAGTCACCGGCTAAATGGGGCTCTTCATTAGCTGCTTTAGGATAGAGGCGGGGGAAGGAGGATGATGAGGAGGAAAAAGGGCAGCTAGGGACATGGGATAGATGGAAGGAGACAGAGAGGAAGAGGAGAAAACAGGAGGGCGGGAGATAGAGAAAACACAAAGAAAGGTGCTCAGAGGAAAGAGAAAGGAGAGAGAGGCGGCAAACAGGGGAGGAGGAGAAGATAGGAGACAGGAGCGACGGTTCTGCAGCCAGCTAGGTGCTCAAAGAGCAGGTGGAGAGACGATGGGGAGGCACTGGCCGCTGAGAGGCCGAGCTGTTCACTGGGCTACCTTCCCATTCAAGCTGGCACCCTGCTTTTCGCACGAAAAAAAAAAAAAAAATCAAGGCTACAGCTAATCCCACTGACTCAGAGATAGACAACACCTGAATTACCTCCTGTTACTGCAACTGAAAGGAAATGTGCTGCAATAAGACATTTCGTTTAAAAACAACAACAACAACATAATAAATGCATAATTGGTGAATTAGGGGTTCACTGATTGTCACGTTCTGGGCAGATACTGATTTTTTTTCAGTTCTAATATTTAGGTTTCAGATTTATCTTCATATAAAAAAAAAATGATGTGTTTGAAAACCTTTGTCATTGCTTTTTAAAAAAAATTTCACCAGCAGAGAATAGATGATGTACGGTGCAAAGACAAAAAGGGAAAACTACTTGGCAGAAAAGCAAAATAAATAAATAAATAAATAAAAAGTCAATTTCTGTGCCAATACCGATGTATTAACATGACAATACAGCCTATAACCAATATTTTTTCTTTTGAATTGTTTGTTGTTGGAATGTATTTCACGCTCTATGTGTGGGGAAACAAAGATTTTTGTGTAAACTAGGTCTAGTAACTAACCTGTTTAAAAAGCTCTTCGTCTCATCACACAAGTTTTTATCACTTTGCCAGTGCAAAACTGATACTGTACAGTGTAACAGGAGAGTTACATAGTAGAGATGAAGTGTATCAGCTCTCAATTTCACATCAATGTTTAGACAAACAATTTGTCCAATTTTTTGTGTGTTTTTAAACCTGCCCAAAATAGAGGTGACATATCAGTAGCTGGTATCAGTCAAAAGGATACCGATATTCAGGCAATATTAGAGATGCAACATTTTAAGCAAAAATGTAACTCCATATTCATCAAAGACGCCTGCCCCCACCAATCACAAACTGCTTTCAAAGGACAGCACATAATTGTGGCAGACTTGTGACTTGCTAGCTTTACCTGAGGGGTATACTATGAAGTAAGTTTATAGTACGCCCAGCCAGGTTTCCTTTGCGTTAGCTGGCTTGACAAAACCGAAAACCCCTGTGAGAGATAACGGTTATCAAACAGTAGTTATCAAATTTCTTTTACTAAACCGGGCTCTTTGCTTTAGGGTCTGTGACATAAAAAGGGGCGATTCACGCCTCACATGACTATTCTTTGGCACAAAATGATCCCTGCGAGTGCCACCTATTCCAGTTAGGGATGTTATATAACGGTGAAATAGTGATAAAAATATACAAAGAAAATACCAAATTTAACAATTAAATACAATACTGTTGCAAATAAGACAGAAAATTAATGCAGTAGAAAACCATAAATCTTTGGATCTAGAACATAAGAGTTGTGAAGGTAGAATTCATGCTGCGCATGATTACAAATCGCCCTTAAGAGCTTCCATTTTGAGCCTGCCTTTCATAACTTATGAGGGGTTAACAGGAAAAACAATTAGGGCCTCCTCCATCTGCTTTGTTTATTTTATTAAGTAAAGAAAGTTCTTCTGTCCTCTGTACATGCAAAGAAGAGGGGATGCTAATAGCTGCATGGTGAATATAATCTACTTCATGAGACACTTTCATCACTAAGTGACTGACAGGCTGTCAAAGACACGGGAAGTCACAAACAGGTCCTATGCGCAGCCGAAGTCTAGACTGCCATAATGTGATTGTTTTTGTCCTTTCAGTCACTCAGACTTTTAGGAGCAAACACAGTGGGCGGAAAAGTTCCTGCTGTCACTTAGCAACCAACAGCAGGCTGCGACAAACGATCCGATCCAATCCTGCCTCATAATTGTACCATTCGTTATGCCAGGTCTCTGAAGAATTTATTATTGTGCTTTCTTAATCCCATGAAAAGGTCACCAATTGAACAAACAATTTATGGATCGAGGGGATGAAATATTTAATGGCTCAAGCCAAATATTATAGGAATGAGAGGTTTTTTTCCACCTTCCCTGGAAGGCGATGAATTATTTAGTCATCGGGGCCACATCTTTGGTGAAAGCTATTACACGGCAACCTCAACCTCAATATCGGATAATGTCATCAGCTCCGAATATGGCCTAAACCTGCGTAATGAATGGTCAACAGAGCAGTGGGCTGCTGTGGCCTGAGCAGCCGGCGGGTGAAACTGTTTTGGCAAACAATTATTAGCATTTATTTTAAGCCTCGGAGGGGAACGCAGGCAGTCATAAGAGAGAATCTGAGCGGTGATCTTAATGTGTGCACTCACCAAGCCGGTAAAAACGTCTTAAATCTATCGCTCTAGCACAGCAAAAACCAACTGAAAGATCTCCAAATCAATTATGGTAATAATTCAGCATAAGGGAATGTTAATGTGATACAATATGGAGCACGTTGCTGCACAGCACAACATCTCCACTCTGGGAAACAGCAGCCGCGGGGACTGAACCAGCATCCACTCTCTGCCCACCAGGCTCCACTGGTACTGTAATGAAAATGATACTATCATGACGCTCAGCCTCATTGGTGGCAACTTGGAGGCTTTTATGGCCATTTCTGTCTCTTTAAGTCAATGAAGCGATAACTGTGTGCATCTGAATTATTATGGTTATAGCTTACTTATTAAGCAACTACCAAACTGGGTTATTGGATGTCTGATTGGTTGCCTTTTACAAGTTCAAATCAGGATGTACTGTCCTCTTACAAGAATAATAGAGCTTTACTAAACTGCTTTACTTCAGTGCGTTCATTCATTATCATTAGTCATATTCAGACTTCTGAGTGAATTTGAATCAAGAGTTACACTACCAAATTACATGAATGAACTCTTATTTGAATACAAAATCAACCTTTTGAGATCCTTTTGGTTAGACTCCAAGGTTATCTCTAGCTAAACCGCTCAACCATATGTGTAATTCACTAATAATAACGGGAGTTGTTTTTCTCTGCTCCCAGCCTATAAACCAAGACACGAGTCAAAGCACAGAGGAAGGTTGGAAGAATCAATTCAAAACAAACGCATTTACTCTGCTAATTGATTACTCTGATTTAATCAGATTCAGCCAAACAATCAGTTTTGCAACATCGACTTTGTCACAACGAGCTCCATTACAAACCTGGTAATTTAATGTTACTTTTGTATCGGCAAACCTACAAACCCCAGACAGAATGAAACGTTTTGCTCTGGTAAAAAAAATTATTGGGACTAAAATTCGGCCAACGAAATATCCAGCCAAGCAGTTCAACAATTCAATTAAAGCTTAATTTATTCAACTGGTTAACAGCGTCAGTCAACCACCCATTGCGGCAGATTACTAGGACAGACACAGTCGAAGCAGGCCTAAAAGTTATTGAATAATACCCTGTAATTTAACAACGGCTGTTTGGTTTTGTGGACGAACGCCGAATTGAAGTGTGTCTGCTTACAGTTCAGATGTGGTTTCTGGTTACGAGGTGTGTGCTTTAGCCGAGGAGCACGGGAGCAAACGGAGCTACATTTGGCATTGAATCCTGTCGGGGCTAAGCTAACGACTCTTACCTGGCACCGTGACTTGCTAACGCTTGAGAACGGCCAAACACCGGCGACCTGAGCGTTCTCACTCCAGCAAAGAGAGGTGCTTACTGGTAACTAGTCCGTGTTGCATGATTACAACTACCCACTTAACATTATTTGTCGCAAACCAGTAAATGCAGGACAGGATACTGCAAATATCTTACGTTGCCTTACCGCTTCGGTTTACAATCGGTGAACAGGCGCTGTTGTCTCCACCGAGGGTGAAGTAGCTAGTGTTTGTGGCAGAGTGAAGAGGCAGCGTCCAGCAGCAGGCTGACTGCGTCAGCTCCTCACGCTCGACACGCAGGGTGTTGAAAATATGTCACGTTTAGTGGTGGTTGTTGTTGTTGTTTTAATTAACTTGTGCCAGGAATCAGACAAGCAGTTTCTCAGACAGTTTCGTCATTTTCCTTCACACATCCCCAAACAAATATGTGTTTTTCACACCGTCAGTCGAGTTGCGATTTAATTAAATAAGTGCTAGGAAGTTACACGGGATAGTCACCGGTACGTAAGTGTAGCGGATGCCGGGTGATATAAACCGAGTGTACCTTGAATTTGCCGCGAAACCATCCTGGCCTTTTAGTTCAGTCTGCTGTTTTATTGCTTCGCGTCATTGCGCACTATCACTAGGTAGGAGAAACCTTACATATATAAATCAACCGAAAATACCGTTCATGTATTCATTTAATTCTTTTTGTATTGTTTTGTTTTTTTGCTAACACTTCTGCCATGTGACCAAATTTCTCTTGAGTTCATTACAGGATAGCAATAAATGGGTGCTTGTGCAAGAAGCATGTGGTTATATGTGAACACGGTAAACATAAAAGCTTAATAACAATATCTAGTTACAGAATAGCTAGAAAGCAGCAGAGCAGCGAGGAGTGTAACTAATGTAACTAATTAGGTGGTGCTTTTATTTCTATAGGCAGTATCACAACTTCCTGTGTCTTCTACTGGCTCTAGCTAAGGATGCTACAGACTCGCTGAAGTTTTTAACGGGGTTAGTGCTGTACGCTAATGCTGCGTTTTGGTGCCGATACGATACCAAGTAAATACTTGGCCAATATTGCTGATACCTATACTAATACCTTTAACCTATAAAGGCAGCTTATGTAGGGGAGCAGTATGTCATGATTTATGAGCTGAATCATCCTCAATTTGCCAAATTCTGAGCACATTTTAATAACCACTACAGGATTCTGATTGATTCTGTTGTTTACATGTGCTATAGGCTGTAAAAATACATGTAACACACAAAACGGTTAACACATTTTTCATTGATTTATTTATAATTTATTATAATTATTATGATTTATTAACACAATTCAGTGGGCTACATACTGGACTTGGGAACAAAGTACCGATCTGATCGCGCTATTGATCCAATACTGATACCCGCATTGGCATTGAAGCTATCAGTACTTGGATGGATCTGCCCACCGGTACATGGAGTGTTTGGCTGCTACTTTGGCAGGCCTCAGCCCCTAACTTGTCTTTTTGTTTGATATGTCTTCCAGGCCTGTTTCCAGAGTATTCTTTCTTTCTTTTTTTAATATTTGCACAAAAGAATCTGAATATTTGGCCCAAAATACCCTCATGGTATGAAATGAAAAGTTTTTTCACTTTTCATTTGCACACTCAGTTGCCCAGTGGTCATTCCTTTCATGTGATACCAACCAGCTACATACCAATAGACATGAATGATAGACTTTCGTTCTGCTCTTAAGCGCAGGTAGTGCCAACTTTCTGTGCTTAGTAGTTCTTCTTAGCCACAGTCATAGTTTTGTTGGGTCGCTGGTGTGCCTGTCTCGGTGGCTGTGATTACATATGGCAGCAGACACTTCCAGGACTGACCCGAATGATGAGGCAACACAGAGGAGGTGTTGTTGTGTTGTGACTGGAGGTGGCTGAGATAGGCAACTTTTACTATCACCGTGCTTCATCATCCAGCATTTAATAATGATATTCCTGTCAATGCTACCAAGACTGCAGGGGAAAGTTACTCACCATTACTACAAAATCAGCAGTCAGAGTGCTAAACTAAATCTGTTGTGCAATAGATGCTAATCCATGTACATTTTGGTTTAACAATTATTTTTGTTTTTTGTTTTTTTTTGTCCTCCAGATTCAAATTGGAGCCAACTGAGCAAGTACTGAGAAACTGATGAGGACTTGCTAATGGAAATGGATGATAATGGCCTACAGGCCTCTTGCTGTGATACAAGATGGTCGGAGCAACTGTCAGGCCTTCCTCACAAGCTCCTGCACCGCCTGATGCCTTTCCAAAGGGAGGGAGTGGAGTTTGCTTTATCGAGGAGCGGACGGTGAGTGGTGACACCCCCGGCAACAGTCCAGTCATTTTAAAATGAAATTTACATCTTGCAAATCAATAATAGCTACTAAAGATAGTCGTCAATGAATGTAGACCTACAGAGAACAGAGGAGTACCGCTCTGTTTTCGACATTACACTCCACCTCTGCAAGTATTGATTTGATTTCTGTGAAGATGTTTTCAAGTCAGATGTGTTGTGTAAGCATATGGGAGGAGACTAGCTGCACCTTAAAGGGGACAGTGGTCGACAGTAGTAGATCAAACATGCTAGTTCTCTTGGATTTTAATGCACTGAATCTACACCGATTAGCTGATTTTCTTTTTCTTCGTTATAATCATAAACTGTACACTATGTCTAGTGCCTGGTCAGTTCATGTGATATTCTTTCAGCTTTCTTCATTATGTAACAATTTCAAAATTCATAAAATGTTCTTTTTAGAAAAGACTCACTGTTACAAAGGACAGCACAGTTACTCCTCCTCAGTGCACAAAAATAAACTGTAATGTGTTTATTTAGTGCCCAGCCTGCTAGGCCAGGTCAATTTATTGTGTCTAGGTGGATTGCTGCAACACAGATAAGCATCAATTTCATTAGTTATCCAGAATATTTTGACATGTAGATGTGCTTTTTTTCATCCCTTGGCTAAAGATCTGTCTTTGGACGCCTCCACAGCCAGACATATTTTATCAATTAACTCTGTTGAGCACCAGCAGAGGAAGTGTAAAGCGTATATGCATGAGTTCTATGACTCACACGACTATTTTCAACTGCATGTTGCGAAAGAAAATGAAAAATGTTGCTTGTGGGATATTTTTATATGCTTCAAACTGAACAAAGAAAAACATGTACTGAGGTATCGGTAGAGCAGGTCATCTATCTTTCTATCTCTATCTCATTGGAAGGTTCATGGTTTGAACTCTGGCTGCTACAGTCTGCATGTCACAGTATCGTTGGGCAAGACACTGAACCGCTAGTTGCTCCTCGGTGTTGGAATAAAAGCACTTAGGAATGTGTGAATGTGAGTGAATGGGTGTTACCAAACCAGTCCATTACCAAGTAGTTCCAATCCAAGCCTGGTTTCATCAAACTTAGATGAAAGGGTTGGCCACCTGGAAATTAGGATCTACTCCCATTTGGTCCATTTTTACCTAAACTGAGATGTCAAAATGTTATTCCTGTTTTGTTTTTGTTTGTTTTTTTTACTTTTCGCTGCTTGTCATACTTCAAACTTCTGGGCTTTAAGCTGCATCCACACTTGAAATGATTCAGAGTGAGCTGCCGACCTGAGGCTACGGGATGTAAATATCATTCTGCAGCTAAGGGCAAAATAACTGCTGATAATGTGAAGGGAGCAATTTCCTGGCAAGCAAGTGAAACGGCTACCAATGAGGAATCCTATTGAATGACATATGACCTGGTATTAAGTACTTTAGAGTGTTTACTTTGGCAAATAAAGACAGCTATGGTCAGTCTTGAGATTACTGGTAATTTACATGATTCTACGTTGGCTTTCGAAGCATCACACGTTATTGAACTTGAACATTTTTACCTTCTTAACAGTGGATTTACATGAACTTTGGGATTTATTTTGAATGCAAACTAAGTAAATAAATGTAAAAAATAAGGTTGATGCAGTGGAAGGCACAGGGCCGTCCGGTCGAGCACTAAGCCAAGACTTGGGGGCGTTTTTGACAGTGAAGGTGTCTCTTAAGAAACCTGCACATGAAGGTCCCAACATGGTAGCCCGTAGATGCTATGCAGAGCTTTACTGACCACGTGTTGTAGCTATGGGGCAATGTGAAAAATACATGGAATAAACTGTGATGCGGGGTACTTGTGTTTGTATTGGTTTTGTTGTTGGATCCTAAAACTTGTCCCCTTGACCACCTAGAAGACAGAAGTCATACAAAGACTTTCCTTACATTAGTCCTAAAACATGTAGTCATGGCCAGGGCAATGGCGTGCAAGGCTGACTTTTACTTTCTCTAGATAAACCATGCTGACCGCTGTTATCATGGCCCAGTCTGAACTACACAGTGATTGAATCTGTGCTTTTAGTGTGGGGCAAAAGAGCACCTCAGTAAAGGAGAGAAGTGGGGTGGATTTACAACAACGCACAAAACAAGAAAACACATCATTACTAAAGAAATAAAGAATAATAATTGTTTTTAATCTCAATTTCATTTTGTTTTATTCATTACTCGAATCCAAACTGGTGATGGAAAATAAAATTTGATTTATTGCTCAGACCTCAGCAGTGGGATTATAAGAACAACAATAACAACAATGTACAGCGTGTGCAGTTATACCTGTGCACTTCCCCAAGGCCGAGGCAGCAGTTAAGAAATGGTGTGTTTTACTGCTTATGAGTTCAACTTATCATTTGTAAAAAGGCACAAACAGAAGTTTTATTTGGCCTCTTTTAAGAGACCTTGTAGAGTTTCTGGGCATGTGTAGGGCTGCGGAGTAATCTTTTTAAGAGTGTGAAATCGGTGAGTTTTTGTCAATATGTGATGTGCATGCACACACAGGAAGAAAATGTGGCACTCCTGTGATGGTATGGCTTATGTATATGCAAGATCTGGCTTTAAGGATAGTCAGTGGTCTTGGCGTTAAATGTGAATAAGCTTCCCCTGAATATCCATAAGTCCTGCAAGGTAATGCTAATCGAGTGCATAAAGTTGATTATCTTTTGCACAACATTCAGTCTGTGATGCTGTGCTGGAAGATAAGCTCCTAGCACTTCAAAGGTTCTGTTTGTCATTGGTGCTTTGATTTTTCACTTCCTGATGATGATGATGATGGCGATGATGATGATGGGGATGTTCATTTGAGCATACAGAGAAGCTCTGCAGTATAACACATCTTCCACTATAGCATCAGTGTGTGATTTAGTCAAATAGGATGGTATCTTTGCACCGATAATTTCCCTAATGGAGTTTTAAAGTAGACGGTTCAGCTCCACTTTAGTGCAGTGAGAACGGAGATTTCTTACCACGCTACAAAATGTAAAAAGTATGTCAAGAAGAATATATTCTAAATCCAGATGTTCAGAAGACTGTAAGACTGTAGCTATGAAAATGGGTATCCACAAAAAGCTTCTGAGTTGCCCCCAACTGTTTGTATGCATGGAGCATTAACTGTAGGAACCGACCGGGACTTGCCCGTTTCCTCCTCCCTGACCAGTCGATATACATGTGGGTTCTCGGGAAGGTCAGCGCAGGAGGAGCCAATCTGAGGGGCTCTGCTTTGATGCAGCGCGGCCATATTGATTCAGGAACACTGGGAGGCAGTGCTTTGTTACACGATGGGTCAGGAGTCAATTGGCTCTCACTGCACCGTGCGGACAGCTACCTCAGTCAGTGTGGCGGGAAGAGCAGCGCAGGCACCGTTTCTCTCTGGAGACTAGCACAAATGGTATTAGCAGAAGAGACTACAGGTAGCGGGAGGTTGTAATTTTTTTGTGATTAAGATCATTTTCATTACTTAACACATATAACAGGCATGTCAGGTTTGGTGTGGTGGTAATAAATATTAAACAAAAATATGAATATAAAATTGGCAAATCTGCTTTTGAGTCTTTGAGTAATCTTTTTAAACAATAAAATTGGAACTCCATTTAGATTCTGTTTGTGTCTACACTTTTTTCACATGAATGTAATGCATGCCAAGAAAGGAGACATTAACACTTTTTAAAATTAAATATTAAGATATACTGAAAAAAACTCTGTATTTGATTGGCATAATTATTTGTATCATATTTCCACACTAAACTCAGATAAGAAAATATCAACTGCTGTATATAGAAAATCCTAACTTGAAACAGATTGGAGCTGATGTAGGATAAACTCTCCATATCTGGTAAATATTAGGACAGAGCTGCAGGTATTTGCCAAAGTCTAATACCATCAGTTGATTATTAAAAGCTTGGCTTCCAGCAATAGTTTGGTTTTTGGGTTTTTTTAACAGGGTTTTTTAACAGATGTATTCCAAGCCAGTCAGCACGCCACACCGTTTTGGATTTTTTTGAGGAATGAAAGTAATAGCCACAGATTTAACAGACGCAGCTGTTGAGCTTTATTCACATAAAGTTAACATGATTTTTTTTTTGTTGTTATGTGTATTTAAAGTTAAAAGCAGAAATAATCAACCAGAAAATGTGCCTGAGCCTTGATGTTCAGTTACTTTAGGTAGTAAGCTACGCTACGTGGACAAAACTGTTCGAACACACTACATTTGTATAAAATCATGCATCCAGCCACACAGTCTGCCTTTACGTACAGTTTTGAAAGCATGCATTGCATGTGTAATGTACCAGTACCTTTGTCTATTTAGTGTAGTTAGCTGGTTCCTACTGTGTTTTTTAGTTGTTAGTTTTTTTTGGCTAGCTAATGAAGCTAAGCTAAAGCTTATAAAGCTGATCTAAAACTGTGTTTGTTTGACTGTTTGGCTTCCATGAATGGACCTTTATTTTGGAGATTCTCCATCACTGCATGACACTGGGTCTAACTATTAGTGTTTTTCTTTTTTAAAACGCTAATGAAAATGCCTATTATGCTTTTTTATGATGGCTAGCTAGCTGAATGCTTGTTTGTTGTTGTTTTTTTTTAAATTTCTTTTTAAGTGCAGATTATTGCTTTTAGATATTGAGTACATGGAGAAATGCAAATTTTAATGGGCTTGGTCCATCTTGTTACGGTTCTCAGTTACGGACATGCTATATTTGCAACAGTAGACATCAAAAGAGGCTAAGAGGTTAAAATCTTACTTTGAGAGCATAGACAGAGACCACAAGCTAAAATGCAATTGCTATTGGCAGAAACCTTGATCATTCTCTCCTTATTAGAGCCACCCTGCTGTTCTTCATTTCTTCATTCAGTTTCCTTGGAAAGAGACTGAAATGAATACTAATATTCAACTGAATATCACAGTGAAAAAGGCGGAAATAATATTTCTACCTACTAACATGAATAGACCAGAATGCAATAATGCAGCAGCTGACTTGCTAGATCTTTAGGAAGGGGTATAACAGTTCTGGTAAATGTAGGAAATCACTACCTGAAATGCAACTAGACAAGGCAGGCTGACAGACGAAGAATAAATGGCAACCCTTCATTATAAAATACCTCCTGAAATGCACTGAACATCATAGATTGATGTTGGATGTCTAACAGCGTAGGAGGATACGTGGGCGGATTTTTCCTTTAAATCTCATAGTCATTGTCTCTTTTCACATCCAGAGCATCAAGAGTACCGAAGCAAAACATCAAATGTTGTTGCAATTCAAATACTTATGGAGTCGGCTGTATCGGCCTGTGTAGGAGGGTGAGTGAATTTTATGGAGCTAGATGGGGGATAATGTGGGAAAGTTGCGGTACCGTATGACAATAAAAACCCATGAGATGTGGTTGATTGTATTGTTTAGAAAGTTGGGCAGAAGTTTGCCATTTAAGTGCTGACATTTGTATAGACTCGGCTATTTTAAAGAAGCGTACACGTAAAATGCTGCTCTGAGGGGGCCAGGTAGTGAAAAAAACAACAGCATTAATTTGAGTTAAAGTGCATCCATTAAGACCTCCTGGTCGCTTTCATTAAGGTGATGAAAGGTGTTGACCGTAGCTTGAAACCAGCCATGTGCTGCAGTCTAACCTGCTCTAATTTGTCCTAAATATTATTGTAAGGAACTGCCTCTGCTTTTATTGAATAAGAAATGCTGTGCTGATGCCAGAGGAGGTCAATGCTGTATTCTTTCTCCCTGTAATGGCCCACATATAGAGTTTTGTTCTCTGAATAAATGTAGGTGCATGAGTTTAAACCATATTTACAGAACCGTAATAACTATTCCTAATATAAAGACTGTACACAGAGTGCTTTCATAAAATCATTTGGGCTAATGAGGCTTGGTGCTCGATGGATATCATTCATAGAGAGCATTTCTCTGAAACTTTAAACCCCACAACTAAATCAGCAACAGTGTATTTTATCTTATTTGAATCTACTTATTAAGAGTTTATTTTTTAGAAACTTGACTTAATAACTACACTATTTTCATCAAACACCTACCTAAACACAACCTCCCATTCAGGCCCTTTCACAGGCTCTTTGATACTTTCATTTGGACATTTTGTTTGGCACAAAGAAATAGATTTATACAGTAAGTCTGTGCCACTGGTACGCTGTAACTGCAAAACCTTTCTGCATCATCCTAGAAATGAAACTTCAGTTAACTCTGACATCGATGTCGTCAGGTGCCATTGTTTCCTCAGCACACCAGCATAAGAATAAATGCTGGTAATGGCGTCGGCCACTTATGTAGGCTGCGTAGTATTCAAATATCTAATCAGCCTGGTAACATGTTGACATGGTAGAGAATTTGTTGAAGTTCAAACCCAGCATCAGAATAGGGAAGAAAGGTCATTTAAATGTCTTTGAATGTAGAATGGCAGTTTTTCAGATGATGACAAAATGTTTTACTAGGGTTTCTGTAGAATGGTCTGAAGGAGAGGAAAAACCCAGTGAGCACCAATTCCCCAGGTGAAAAACACTTGTTGATGTCAGGGGTCAGTGTAAACCAGCCACAGGGGATACAAGCTAGTGTACTCCTAGTGTTGGTCCCAAGCCCAGATAAATGGAGAGAGTTGTGTCAGGAAGGGCATTCGGGGTTAAGGCTTTGCCAAATCAAACATACAGGTGATAAAGAATCAGATCTGTATGTTGGAACAGTCTGGGCCCAGGTTAAAAATAACTGCCTCCACTGCTACTATTGGCTGAAGAGGGGGAAGGTGTGTTAGGAGGCAGCAAGAGAGCAGTCGGATAACTCAGGTTGAGTGGTTTGGGGATAAAGTCAGAGATGGTTTGGACATGTGCAGTGAATCCATCCTTTGTTGTAGTGCTGGTTCAGGTGGTGGTGTAGGGGATATTTTCTTGGTGCACTTTGGGCCCATTGAAAACAACTGACATGCTTAAGTGACACCGCCTACCCGAGAATTGTTGGTGACCATGTCCATCCCTTTACAACCACATAACCCTTTTCCACTAGTACCTTCTTGGGTTGGCATGGCTCAACCTGGTTTTTAGGCTTTTCCATTAGGAGGAAGTACCTGGTACTTTTAAGGTACCTAGGATTCCATCTGAGGTGATCTGAAAATGTGACGTCAACAGACTGCATGCCATAATTGGGTAGTCAGTGCCGTCACTCAATGAGTCATGGGAGCATCTGCTTTGCAAATATCGGCACTGCCACTTTTGAAACCTGTCAACAAGGGAAATGGCTACACAAAAAACAACACCATAGTCCCCAAGTCTGAGAGAAAGTCATACACTGAGCAGCAGGCATACCGTCGTTTCGACATCCTGCTTTGTTGTAGCGTAATGGAAAACGACCGCTATTGGTGTATCCATAATGGCTGCTTCCAGGTGCCACGTCACAAAGCTCAGATCATTTCGAACTGCTTTGTCGAACATGATGATAAGTTCATTGTACTCAAATGGCCTCCACAATTACCAAATCTCAATTCAGCAATGGATTTGAAGGAAAAGGAGACTTGCATCAAATATGTGCAGCTGACAAATCTGCAGCAGCTGTGTGATCATGTGACCATGGGCCAGGATCTCTGAGGAATGCTTCCAGTAACTTAAATATATACCGCAAAGAATTGAGGCTGCTCTGGAGGCAAAGGAAAGTCCAGACCGCTACTGCTACTAGCAAGGGCAGCAAATGACAACAAATTTCTTCCTGTTCAAAGGGAGTTTTTCATTCCCACTGTCACCAAATGCTTGCTCATAGTGGGTTGTCTGATAGAGGAGGTTTTCTCTGTATTATTGTAGGGTCTTTAATTTACAGTATAAAGCACCTTGAGGTAGCTGCTGATGTGATTTAGTGTTACATAAATAAAACTGAATAAAAAAGTTTCAAAGTTTAAAGTAGCGCTGCAGCAGTTCCTTTGTCATTCAGACAGGCATGGTGACGCAGCAAAGCAAACATCATTTAAACATCACAACCTTTTGTCACCTGAATGCCTTCACAGTTCATCATACTTACTTTTGTTTTCTAGTATGGATCAAGCTTTGCATTTGCCATAATATGACGCAGCAATTTATTAATTAGACTGTTTTTTGACACGTCTTAGCAGTAATCTAAAGGGAGTGACTGGGTCTTGTATCTCCCTTATAAATAAAAAACTAGTTTTCATATTTGCTTCCTAAGGTGCTCTAAATTCCATTTCTTCCTAATAAGGCATGAAATTTGCTATAATTTTTTTTATCAATATAATAGGATAGATTTTGTTTTGTGAAAGCAGCAGGGGATGCATTTCATTAAACAGCATGAAAAATTTCACCCACCATTAGTAACCTGTCGCCTTAATAGGTAACTTTCTATTGTTTGGACCGTATCCATCCAGGATGTAAAGAGGTTTTTATAGAAACAAAGTACGGAGGTGGCACATCGTAAATAAATGTTCCAGCCTGCTGGGTTCAATTTGTGTATTTGAGAAAATACTTTTATTTTTTTTGAGAAACACTTAACACATTGAAACATAAACAATACGTTCACTTAATCATTTGATAACGTTTTAAGAATAAATGCGTTGTTATGGCCAAACTTACAGTGCATTCATATACTTTATGTAATGTAATAGACTCAGGAGAAGAAAAAGATTATGATTAAACATAACAAAAAAAAAATGAAGTTCATAATGTAAGAGCACGCCTACACCTACAGACCATAAAAGGAACATATTATATTTAATGTGTGGCAAGAGACTGGCAGTTGCAAAGTGCAAAGTTATAAAATCGAGTACATCTTAATAAAAGTTAATGAAATTAAGTTGCACAGATTCACCTGTGACCATGTTCACCAAGTTTGAATATGTCCATAGTTTAACTTTCAAACCCAAAAGCAGCATCTGTCTTCACATGACCTGATATCAGTTTGTGAACATCATTCAGCTGTGATATTTTGTCCTGAAATGAAGAGAATGTAAATGTGTGGCAAAAGCTAGCATTGGCCATAGCACATATGTAAACATTAAAGAGTCAGCAGATGAAAGTTGGCTAACTTTAGCTAGCAGTTATGAAATCAAGTCTTTTATTTATAGCGTGCGTTTAAAAGCAACAGCTGCTCTAACCAAAGGGATTTACAGTGAGATTAGACACATGTGATTTAAAACACTATAAATAAGGAGAAAGGTGTTTATTGAAATGAGCACAATATACAGAGTCAGGAACGGCTCCATGATGATCATTAGGAGACTGAGGAGAAGAACAGAGGTTTAAAAAACATCAAGAGAGTGAAAAGTCTAATTGCGGACCCCAAACTGTTCAACAGTTTAGGGCCGAGGAATGAAAATGCTCCATCCAGTTTGGTCCTGGCGACAGCTCGTGTCGTGTTTTAAAAGCAAAGACAAAACTGCCAGTACAGCACAGCCATGGGCTCGCTTCTTGGTAGCAGCAAGAAAGTTTGGCTGCTGCGTTTTTGAACAACTTCAGGCTAAAAATGGCCGACTGACTATACTTTTGATGACGGTAATTGTTCAAGTTATCTGAAATGGAAAATGCCAGTACTGATAACTGAGCTGATTTGTTTATGGCATTTTAAACCTGAATCATGGATGAAACTAAGATTTCTTTCATCACTCAATAAAAATAAAAGAGGACCGAGGTCATTTGATTGCGGTGGTGGGGGTGACTGCCCGGCCAAAGGTCAGACCCTCACTTTGAGTCTGGTTAGCAGAAGGAGGCTTTTTCTGCCGTGCAGGATTCTTACATCCTCAATAATAAGAATGTAGCAGCAAAACCTCTGGACATCCTGAAATGAGCAACCTTTCAATTTCAACAAGAAAATCATGTTATTTCTTCTCAAATGCTGCACAGTATTCTTTCAGTCCTTGCTGTTTTTATATGATGAACAGAAACTATTATCTGTAATCAGAGCTCCTGAAGAACGGCATCTTTAGAGGTCATTGCTGTTTTAAATGTGATTATTTTTCTGTCTGCTGCTTCTTCCTTTCTTTCTGGAAGTGGCTGAAAACAGAATATAAAAACCATAGTTCAGCAGAGGTGTAGTGATATTAAAAATCTACAATAAAAACAGCAAAACATTATGATTACTTTGGGAAACACTAGCTTTGTTTTTTTGTAATTAGATTTTTCTCCCTTGTGGGGAAAGAAGAGAACTAAAAGGGCTTTCTGACAGTTTTTTGTGAGCACAAAAAAGCCAGGAGCAAAAGCTGAACATTTCTTTGTTTAACTAAGGTTTATAATATCCTTTTTCAAGGCATAGATGCTATCAAAACATGTGAGAACCTGCTTCAACATTTCCTGCTTTGTTTTGATTCACACTATAGAGCAAGACTGCACTATGAGCCCGTAACTGTGTGCGCAATCAGAGTGAGCCCATTCTGAAGCACCCTTTAAGTCAGCCTTTTATCCAGCGTCTAACCTCGTGAGCAGTTTACTCCACTGACCAGAGAGCAGCACAGGTCCAGTCCTCAGAAGAGAGCCTTAACGGAGCTTTGGAAGATTGGGGTTACACGCCGAGCCCGCACCGTGCTTCACCGCGCAGAGGTCAAAGTCATCAAATCATCACTGCCAGCTTGGGAGGCGCCGGAGCCCGTTTCCTGACACTTTGGGGCTTGTGGGTTTCAGAGATAACATTAGAAAGGTGCTGTGACGGAGAGCGTGCCGTCGTCAGGCAACAGCACTGCAGCATGCTCGCAGTCTCAAACCGTCAAGACGACACTCAGGTTATTTAAAGGAGGATGATTAATGTGTTGAGAAATGGCAAGCACCTGCCCCAGCTGCACTCCCTCTCCTGTGTGTGTGTGTGTGTGTGTGTGTGTGTGTGTGTGTGTGTGTGTGTGTGTGTGTGTGTGTGGGCGGCTGGATGCGCGAGCACATATACTGTATCTATATATGTGTTCGCTTCTTTTTGTTCGTGTCTGTGTGTCTGGTGTGTATTTTTGCATGTCTATTGTGTGCATTTTTCACAGACGCTTGGTGTGACACTGTGTGTGTGTGTGTGCATTGCGCTGACTGGGCCGGTGTGCTGGCAATTAGAAAAACCACCAGTGGCAAGGTGCACATTAATCATGTTCCTCAGCTGAAAGAGAGAAATGGGGCGGAGATGGGGAGAGGAAGAGAGGGAGGAGGAGAAAGAATAATGAGAGACGGTGTCTGAGGCATTCAGAGCCGCTCCGTCGCACTGTTTGCTCTGACATGATGTTGGAAGCATTTATGAATAGGCAAGGTCACGACAATGGGCCCAAACCCACTGGGCAGGGAGAACCAGAGGTTGATCTAGTTGCACTTTTTCCACAGCGACAACTTGAGCCAAGGACTGTGTCGCGCTCTCATTGTACCTTACAATGTGCGGCATGAATGGAAGACTAGATAGTAAGCAGGGCTGCACAGTTATGATCAACGTGATTATCACAATTATTTGTCACTATTATTCTTTACACTGTGATGGCCTGAGTGCATCTCCTAAAAGTCTTTCTTACTGACTATTTTCCCAAAGCCTTCATTACTCGCTGTGTTTTAGCGGAGATGCGTTCTGGTGATTGCGTTGGTGATTTCGGCGCGTGTTTGTGAGCTGGATGGGTGCGCTGACGTGCGCTGGCTCGCTTTTATGGCTCTGTGAGTCGTTGGACAATTAATGTTGGCAGTCATCGCTTTTCTTGGCCTTCACACACGAATCATCAGTTTGTGGTGTGTTTTCAGTCAGTTGAGTAAGTCTGCAGAACTCATTGCATGTGATTTCTTCTCGGTTAACATCGTTTGTCCTAAATGCAAAATACTTCCAGAAAAAGTTGTCACAATACCTGAATTTAAACTAGGAAATACTCAGTACTCTATACCATTTTCAGCAGCATTTTTTCTTTGACACAAATTTGAAACTTGACAAACTAATAAATGCTGTCGACAGAGTTGTCAAAGGCTATGCAATCTTTTAGTACACCTAGACTGGACTACTGTAACGCACTGTGTACTAGAGTTAGTCATCTCTAGCTTACTTATAATTCAAAGAGCCTTAGTAAGATAATTGACTGGGACAAAAAAGAGAGCTCACATTACTCCAGCATTGACAGCCTTGCATCGGCTTCCCGTGCATTACAGGATCGAGCATAAAGCAGCGCTGTTTGTGTTTAAAGCAGGGGTGGGCAATCTCAGTCCACGAGGGCCGGTGTCCCTGCAGGTTTTAGATCTCACCTTGGGTCAACACACCTGAATCACATGATTAGTTCGTTACCAGGCCTCTGGAGAACTTCAGGACATGTTGAGGAGCTAATTTAGCAATTTAAATCAGCTGTGTTGGTTTAAGGACACATCTAAAACCTGCAGGGACACCGGCCCTCGTGGACTGAGATTGCCCACCCCTGGTTTAAAGCCTTAAATGGTCTTGTGTTACACTCCCTGGAGATCGTTGAAGTCTGCTTCCCCATCACTCTTCCCCACCAGGTGGTCAAAGCTTATTTCAAAAGAGAGTCGTGCCTAGGGATGGGTACCGGTGTCCGGTGCCATGATGGCACCGGTTCTGACATAAACGGTAGTAACCAGACCGAAAAGCAGCGCACATTTCGGTGCTTTATTTCGGTGCTTTTTTTTCCTGAGCTGTGATACACTTCTAGCCAATCATTTTACGTTTCTGAGGATAGTAGGCGGGCCCAGGTACGTACGTTCTGTTAGAGCAGAGCTACAGATTAAAAATGTCCAAGGCGAAGCGGTCAAAAGTCTGGCTGTACTTCACAGCAAAATATGCAAACTCAGCAGCCTGCAACAAGTGCTTTAAGCTGATACTGTGATACTGTCAAAGGAGGTAACACCAAGAATCCGATTAAACAGCTGGCGACGCATAGCGTTTTTTTTAAAAGCCGAGAAATGCGCCGTATTTGATAGCTTGCTGCGAGACCTCACACTGTGCACGTCGGGTGGGTTGCCAGTTATCGGACCCGGAGCAACATCCCCCAAAAACCCGAAGAGTACAGTCCTGGCCCCTAGCCCTGCCAGTGTAGCAGAAATGATGAGGATGATGATGCAGCAGCAGCCGTTCTTCTCTGCATGAGTAGCTTCATGTTGTTCGTGTGTAATTTACGTTGAGTAGGCTAACCACGTTATTACATTAATGCACGTAAGGTGAACTAGCAAACACCATCATAGCTACATGCGGCTGTCCTCTTGTTTGATGGCAGATACTCCCTTCACCCTGGCCAAAAAGGCTAAAATGACCAAAGAAAAAGTGGAAAACAGTTAAACATGAGAGGGTTTAAGTTTGTGTTTTTTCCATTGTTTAAGCACTGCTTCCAGCCAAGAGTGATGCCATATATGCCACATAGCTGCAGAAAAGGCTAACATTGTTATCTTTTTACAAAAAAACAGCTGAACATGAGAGGTTTTTGGACAAAGTTTGTGTTCTCCATTCTTTAAGCACCGGCACCGTTTCAAAAGTACCGATTTGGCACCGGTATCGGATAAAACCTAAACGATACCCATCCCTAGTCGTGCCTTTGCTGGTGTTGCACCAAGACTCTGGGATGACCTCCCAAGTGACCTCAGACAAACCTCAGCTGCGACTTTCTTTACGACCTTTTTTTTTGCTGATCTCTGCAATAGGTTGTTTCTTTGATATTTATGTATGTAATGTGAATGTGTGTCATTTGAATTTTAGGATTTTACAAATGTCCTAAATAAATAAAATCTACTTACTAACTCTTCAACTCATTATTTTTTCCATTTAGTCATCAGAATTGATGTGACAGTAAATATCAACTAATCCCAGCTAACCACATCAGGGGTAATAATGACCGATTACAGGTATTTGGCAGATATATCTGTTAATCCATAACATAGTTCGGTTGCTAAACAATGTCATATGAGAGAGCCACGTTAGGTGAGCGTTCATAGGTTCAGTCATGGCTCATCTCCCCCTCCATAAAAAGCTTGGATTTCAGATGTAAACAACATTAGGACCCTAATGATAAGCAACCAGTAAATCAGCTATTTTTGATTGATAATTAAATGATTAATTCATTGTCATAGCAGCTGCCCATTTTCCGTAGACTGACTAATGGGATTAATTGATTATTTTTTTCAGCTCTTGTTAGTCATAATGCTGCATTCTCCCCGAGAATGTACCGAGCCAAAAGCTCTTCCATGATGGTAGTGTAACACTCATGTTTGGAAAAGAAGTATTCTTTTTTTAAATGCATTTAAATGTTAATGGTTACATTTTAAAGCTTTCCTCTTACATTGCACTTATTTTCACGCACACTGTGTGAGTACTACACTGTAAAGTAGATGGCAAAAATATAGGAATGAATCACGTATTTGTGCTACAGTAATAATGTGCCCGTATTCGTCGGGGACTTTGCCATATATTGTTGGGGGCGGGTGTATACCAACATTTTTACCAAAAAATACTGATCTGATGGCTTCTATTATTTATATACTTACAGTATAGAGCTTGCTTCTTCTCCTTTGGGGTATGCTCCATGACTCATTTTCCTCTTCAAGTCAACTCTTCAACCAATCAGAATTCTACTTACGTGTATCGTCATATCCGTTGGCTTTTTGAAGGACTGTTGGTTGAATTCCCACAGTCCCTGTCCCCGCATAGCCAAAGAGTTAGACAAACAGGCACCAATGTGGGACCATAAATCCCAAATAACACTACTCAATAGAAATAAAAATGCTCAAGTTCTCCCCAATGAATTGACCTGAATTAAATTTGTTGCTGCCTACGAGACAGAGAGTGGAACACCGGCTTCTACAGCAGTCAGCGAGGGTTTTTTTTGTTGTTTTTAGGAACTGAATGAACCCAAATACATAAACATTGTGGTCTGCAAAGGTACTCTGCTGCATTAGATGCAGTATCTCAAACTCAACAGAAACAACAACATAAATATTGAATAGCAAGAAGTCCTGCAGACGTACATTAGTAGTTTTAGTTTTGTTGTATGTCCAGAAATCCTTGCTGTTGGTTTATGTTAACTTTTACTTTGTGTACATGACCCACAAAAGTCTGAGACGTTGGGGTGTGACTGCAGGTTATTAAGGCTTCTGTAATGATTCTCTCTAGTTGGAGGACCTGATGTCTTTATATGTAAACTATAACGTCTGTCATATATAGAAGCCATTACCTTCTCATCAGCTCTACAAAGTGTGAAACCTGTCTGATAAAGTTTTTCCTTTTGTTTTACAGATGTATGATTGCCGATGAGGTAAGCACACACAACGCTGGCTCAGGAAATCTATTTTCCAAAAAAAAGAACCTGAGAGTTTGCTGCATGCCTTCCAAATTAATTTGTCAGCCCTCTGCTGCACTCCCACGTGCTTAATCGGTTTTGACACTAGAATCATTCTGAGACCTTATTACTCTTGGGCCTCACATCAGCTCAGCCGTCATATGCAATTTGCCACAGAGTCAGTGCACAATTGACTTGTTTTTCTCCCCATTCGCCATGTGTTGTTGTTTGGTGGGCCCAGATGGGTCTCGGGAAGACCGTGCAGGCCATCGCAGTGGCGTACACCTTCAGGCAGGAGTGGCCCCTCCTGGTGGTGGTGCCCTCGTCCCTCAAGTACCCCTGGATCGAAGAGCTGGAGAGGTGGATCCCCGAGCTGCAGCCTGGAGACATCAATTTGGTGGAGAACAAGAGCCACACCATGTAGGTCATCGCACCACATTACCCCGTTTGACCTTCATCCCTAAAAATCACCTCCATACTCATGTCAGCCTCTTAGTGTCTGGTTTTACTGGGACTAAATTTTGGTTTTGACTCTTCTGACGTTCCTAAAGCTGGTTTGACTGTTTTATTAAACTAAAGCTCTAAACACAATAGCTGCTTGTTTACATTTAACAGCAAAACTAGAAATCAAATGGAGTTTCTGTCTATTTTTGGTCTCCACCACATCCTGAAGGCTCATCTCTCTCTTAATTCTTAAATGCTCCCAACTGTTCACAAATAGCGCTCAACAGGTGGAGCAGGTCCTTATTAAAATGTATTTTTAAGATCAAGTTGAATGATCTCCTAAATATAGAATAAGCAATTTGTTCTACTCCAAATCAAAGGCTAATATTGTCACAATGACAAAGACTACAGTAGCTTAACGGCTTATTATTAAAGCAGCGGTTTGTAGCATCAAACTGCACATTACTGCTGCTGTGGTTGTGAAATTCTGGATAGATGGTGAATTATTAATTTTTTGTTTGTTTTGTGGTGTGACTTAGCGTGCACATTATTCGATGCTGTCTCGTTTACAGAGCGTTGCAGAAGGGAAGCTCGATACTGGCTTAAAATCACATAAAGGTACTTAAAGGTACTGTTTTTGAACCCTGTAACGCCAAGTGTATCATATTTGATACATGAGAGTTTGTGAGTTCTTGACTTCAACACCATCAGTGTGAGTTTTGTTTGTTTTTTTTTAAATTAAATTGCACAATACATTTATAAGCAAACATCACGCTTGACTGGTTAAATATATTGACTCAATACACCATGCTGTGGCACAAAGTGGTACTGCATGAAGGTACGGCCTGACTTTAGTTCAGCTTCAGCTGATAATCCTTTGATAGAACATACACAGGAATTTTGGGCAGCTGTTTCCTTCCTTTTTTAACACATGTAAGTAACTCTAAAAGAAAGACTTGTAGTTTGATTTTATAGAATATAATCAATTCTCTGGTTTCAAGCCCCCCAAAAAAAGAATGTCTGCTGCTAAAACATTTAATGGTAAACTAATCATGTTTCCACCGATAACTTTGGTTTTCCTGTGTAGAAGCTCACTCAGGGTCTCTTCAGTACTCATAATATCCATGCAAAGTATTGTGCGAGTGGACGGCGGCAGCCATTACTTGAATTTAAAGCGTCGTTGCCCTTACAATAAGCTGCACAGCAGCATCTAACATCTCTTGTTACGACTTCTTCTCTCCGGCCCTCTGCTAATCATTTACTCTAAAAAGACGTAATAAAAGCGCGAACGTTCACGGTCACACTGTGTGAAGCGGAGGCAGCGTGATAGACGGCAAAGCTGGGCACGATAAATTAATCTCAAAGTGTCCCCTGGTGTCAAGAGCCAGCAGGGGCCGATGTTTGACAGCACTGACAGACAAATCATGTCAAGGCGACGTCTGCGATATTGAACAAGAGCTGAATTTATTTTATTTATTTATTTTTTCCCACGCAGGAAGGAAAAATGCTGGTGCTGGAACGTGCTTCATTTTGTTTGCACTGATTCAGGTTTCTGTATTGTGGATTAATGTTGCATGTAAGCTTAGAAAACATCTACTTTTTCATCTTCTCAACTTTCCCCTAGTTTTTTTTTCTTTCTAATTTTTGAATGACATAAACTTTCTATATTTGTGACTTGGATTAGATGGGGGGGGGGACAGGGACACTCCCAGCATCACAGATGAGGTGCAAAGAGGTTGTGAAAGCCTTCTGGGGAAAACGTGTCCTTGAACTGGATGTGTTAATGACTGAACGAGGAGGCAAGAAAAAATTATGCAGCACCTCCTCTCGGTATTTTGACTCACTTGTGGCTTTGTAGAACATGAATGGCACCTTAGGTTTATTTCAGCTTGGAAATGTGTGTCTGTGAGCGCCTGCGTGTGCGGCGAAGTCAAAGAATTAAAGCTTGACAGATGCTGGAAATGTTTTTGATTTCTCAGAGATCATTATTGAGTTTCATGCAGCTGAATGTCGCCTGTGTGTTTGTTTGTTTATCTGTGCCTGTGTACCCGTGTCAGAGCTGCACATACCATAGCTGAAAAATATAGAAATTGCTATGAAGCCGTAAAAAAGGAGATGGATGAAAGGGGTGTGTGTGTGTGTGTGTGTGTGTGTGTCTGTGTGTGTGTGTGTGTGTGTGTCTTGACACGTATTTAAGTCCATAGGCTCTTTTAAACAGCTTGGTTTGCTTTACCTTAAGGGCTCAGTTGCCAAGTCAATAACACCCGAACATTTAAGCAGGTGTCGAGTGTGTATACAATCCTGACTGTAAGCTGTAAACTACACGTTTACTACTTTTAAAGGGGGCTTCTTCAAAAGCTACAGTGATATACTCATCGCCAACAAACTCCATGAAAATCACCCATAAATTGGCACTAGATAAATAAATTAATACTCTAAGTACTGTTGGTGTACCCAAGGTCAAAAACATCATATTTTATTTGTACCATACAGCTAAAAACAATGAGTGACACGTGTGTTTTTTTACACACATTATATTGTGGCTAAACAGTTGCAAAACTCCCCAAATAATAAATAATTTCCTTTTGTTAAAACCTGTAGTACAGACATGTTTTAGGAGTTTAACAAGCCTTAAAAAACTACGTGTCTGTTATTTTTCATTGTAGAATTACTTTCACTTATGGATGCAGTAGGTTTGAGAGGAAGGCTCAGAAATCATATTTAATCCATACAGAAATACTCTTGACAGGTGCTACAACACCTTTGATTTAAACCTGTCGTGCTAATAATTGGACACAATCTTATATATAACACTTAAGTAAAATATTTGGATACTAATCCTCAAATGTTTGACGCTCCAATATAAATGCTAAATGTATCTTTGGCTTTTACTTTGTAGCTCTTTCATTTGAAGCTACTTGAGGAAATCTTTAACTAAATACAATTTAGATCATGTGGCCCAAGCTTAACGTCTAAAGCTTTCATTAGCTTTTAGAGGCTACAATGTACAGTCACTTGTTAGTTAGCCTTTAGCCCCTCCACATATACAAAAAGTCAGTTACTAAGATTTTGGAGCATTTTTTTAAATAAACTTTTTTTATAAAAAACATTTTTTAAAAAGGATAAATTCTGGGCTATTTCTAAGCAATGAGAAGGTATAACAGACTGTTGGTTTTGGTCTTTTTATGAGGCTTATTGTCAATAAAACAGTTACACAGCAATCATTGAAAAAGCACAAACAGCAAGCACAGAGTTACTAGTTTCACTGTAACCATAGAAACCTGATAATATTCTTGTTTCTTGTGTCACAATCACAGGTAGTTTACAGATACACATTGTAATAAACACATTATTCATTTTGAATCTAAAGTTCACTGGTTTTACCCGTTTTACTTTGGCTATTGTTAGCTATCTCTGTCTCCCATTATTGTATTGGTTTCACACTACTGGTTTAACGAAAACCATTAAAAGAAGTGACTCTTTTTATTGGTCTTTTATGTGTATGCTGTTATCCTTTCAGTGGCATTGGTAGCAGTAAAGTGACCGTCCTGGGCTATGGCCTACTCACCACAGATGCACGCCCCCTGGTGGAGGCACTCAGCGGGCAAAGGTTTGCCGTGGTGGTGGTGGACGAGTCGCATTATCTCAAATCCAGGAACGCAGCGCGGACGAAGATTCTCGTTCCTCTCATTCAGAGCGCCAAGCGCGCCATCCTGCTCACCGGTACCCCTGCTCTGGGTCGACCTGAGGAGGTAATAAAACTTGATTAAATGGTAATTTAATGACGCCTCAGGGGGAAAGGATACAAATTTAACTGGAGTAAGCTGTTTTGTTTTCTCACCAAATGACACGGTAGATTCAAAGTTCCTTCAAACCCCGCTTTGAATTTTTAATGAAAAATTAAACACAGAGCTGAAGAGGAGGGAGCAGTGTGGCTAAATAGAGAAGGCTGCATTCGGTAGATTTGGAACAGATGGATTTTTATAAAGGAATCCTGAGCCCACACTTGTGAGGAGAGATTAGCAGGCCAGCTCGGGGCTCAGCTCTAGCTGCTCACAAAGGTGCTCCACTGTGCAGCGCAGGTAGATCGCCATGGTAACTTGCTCTAGAGCAGGCTACGCTCGGATCCGACATTCAAAAAGCCAATTAACTCTCTCCGGCGTCACTTATCCTCCAGGATCCCGTGGTCTTATTTCAATAACCTTTGTTGCAAAAACTTCATTTACAAAGCCCGATATGAAGAGACACTGCACCGCAATAAATGAGACAAGTAATAAAAAGAAACGCACAGGAGGAGGGGGGACTATTGAATTTCAAGACAATAAGAAGGGCTGTTCACAGGACAATGGTGTTTGGAGAGCGGCTGAGCCAATCCCCTCTCCATAATGATTTATTATATCGTTTTTATATATGTTATATTGAAGCTGTAGATTACAGCCATATTCCATCACTGCAGCTAAGGAAGATGAAGAAGACGTCGTGAATAGAAAATCCTTTCACCGTCTCAATGTGAAGAGACAATACAGTATCAATAACAAACACCGTGTGCCCGCTGTACTCCGATACAGCTGTGTGTTTAGGCATTTTAAACTTCCCACAATTCTTCCAGTCATCTTCTGCAGCTTCGGGAGCAGAGTAACTCTTAGCTTTTACTGTGTTTGTGTTGCTTAAATAGTCATGATGTTGGCTTAATGAATAATTGATGAAAGTTCATGTGTTTATTAGCTAATTCTCATCATCTTCTGTAAAGATTTTACCCCTTTTTTCCTTCCTTTTTGCAATTTCAGTGCAACATTTAAGAATAATTTGTTTTAGCACACCGTACAGAACAGCCTAATTGTGATAGCTGTTTCCTTCAGTGCACACACAACCACACGCACCCACCCACGCACATACACAGAGGCCCCATAATTATTCGTAACCTGCGGTGTATCTTATTTAAGTTTTTTTTTCCCCACCCGAATGTCTGTGCTGCATATTAAAAACATTACAACTTTATTTATTATGGTCTTTTCTTCTAAACAGGTTTCCAAAGTGCTCTGCACATTTATGTAAAGGATATGTTAAATAACACCACAGTGGAGAAACTAAGAAGAGGCACCGCCTAAGACCCGAGCTCTTTCATGGCATGCATTTTTAATTTTTCTTTGCTATTTGGGCTGATTGGGACCTAAATAATGTAAAAACAAAGAATTACCAGATTTTTTTTTAACCTAATTTTTGTTTTTGAGAAAGATGAGATCCACATATGAGGACATTTGTTTCAAATTTTGATAGAACAGTGGCAGCATAATGTCCTCTTGAATGCATATCAGGCCCTTGTAGAGAAAAATTAAGTATTTTGGTCTAGACGTCCCAAAATGTGATGTCCACATATGTGGACACCAGGTCCTAGGAGGTTAAAGACCCAGAAAAACATCTGTCTGTAAAATTGAAAAAAATCAATGATGAAGAGTATATTAAACATTCAGAGACACTATTTATACAGTTCAAATTAAAAAAAAAAAAAGATAATCTGCTTTGCTGGGAGTGTGTGTGTTGGTCTCTGCCTATTGGTGCAGTTTAATTTCTGACATCACTATGTTCCAGCTGAGCCACACCCACCCACCTCAAACCAAACAGGAGACGGTCAGAAATTGAAACCTCTACCCAACTTTAAAAAAACCCCAAACTGCTCCATCTTCAAGATAAATAATGTATTGCATCATATTAGTATTTTTTTAATTAATATTTTATTAGTAATTATCAGTTAAAGTCCCCAAATTTGTTACATTGACTTGTTATTGCTAAGACTTGCTTACTTCACATTGTATGTTTTTAAAAACATAATAAATATGTGTTTTTATGTTTTAAAAGGAAAAGAAATGTTAGTATCACGGGGGACTATTTTCAGCTGTGGATTAATACACATTTGGTGCTCCAGTTTATATTTACAGCAGCAGGACGGACTCTGCAAGATTGACTCAATTACAGTGTGTGTGTGTGTGTGTGTGTGTGTGTGTGTGTGTGTGTGTGTGTGTGTGTGTGTGTGTGTGTTGTGTGTGTGTTTACACTTGGAATGTTGCTTTCTGTGCTGATATTAGATTTTGAACAATATGAGGCTCATCCTGATGCGTCCTCAATAGAGTACACGCATTCTCACACACAACACACACACACACACACACACACACACACACACACACACACACACACACACACACACACACTTGTTAGTAGAATCAATTATTTTTCATTTGATGTGTTGAAGAAATAATATAAAATATTACCAACATTATTTCTAATAAATTCCTATCAAAGAGGCTTCATATATAAATATTTAGCAGTTCATATATAGAAGCTTCATTATCAGTGAGCTAATAATCAACCTCCTGACTAATATATGCTAAACTATTTATGCGGGACTCTGCTTGGCTCGCACTGTCATCTAACTGCCACGTTGCTTTGAGGGAAACTTAATTATTGCCTAGACCCGATCATGATAATTAACTGATGAAATTCAGGCAGATAATTAATTCCAAAACGAAGTAAAGTTAGTACTCGCAAGTAATCTCGAGAAGGTGTATCTTCGAAAAAGTGCACGCGCATGTGTGTTATAGACTTTGGCGTGTGTGTGCGTGACACATGCTATCCTGTCTTTGCCATTGCCCGCCTGCAGTGGTGAGGTTAGTTTTTAGATATCATCTCTCCTTCCTTCTCCCTGCCACTAGAATCTGAAACTGAATATAACATTTTATCATCCACAGCATAAACCTGATAAGCCCTGTCCCTGCCTCTGTGCCAGTCTCCTCACTGCCATCATTACTCACTGTGGCTCTGACATCGAGTTAGCACACAGCTCAGGGCATGCTGCACCGTTCATGATGTGCCCTCATTCCTCCCACCTATTATATCAGTGGCGTGAGGGGGGATGCAAAGCTCCCGGTGAACAAGTGCTGAATTTAGAATAAGGCTCGTCAGTGTAGCTGCTGACGATTAACTGTCATTACTTGAGAAATTGCTGCATATACTGGAAAACTGACAGGGATGGTGTGCATTCAAACAGCAGCCTTGATGTTTGCACACACACTTACACATACACATCACGTGAATATTCTGTGAGCTTTGTTGCAACCTGTGATATAAACACGCTCTTTACCTGCAGTCACATACGTCCACTGAAGACAGACAGCAGCAGCTTGTCTTTTGTCTTGCGACATCAAGCAAAGCAAAGATCTTTTGAAAATCTTTATGCCAGGAGCTGTTTAATTGGAGTAAGTCGACTGTGTCCACATCCTTAAAATTTCAAATCCGTTTCATTTTCTTCACCTTGTTAGACTGCACAGCGGTTTGACCTGGTTAATTGGTGCTGACACAAATAACCACACAGTTGCACAACGCAGCACTGGTAAACTAGGCGAAGGACAGCAGGACCTTGGGTAAGCTACAGAGAAGATGTATTTCATGACAGTAGACTAATCATGAGCTCTGGTAAGGTCTCTGTTTAAAGCTAAAAAAAGCTCATGCTACTTTGTGCAAAAGCGAAAAGGTGGGAACTAAAACAGCCAGCAGTTTCAAGGATACATACATGCTAAATCAGGGGACTTTGTTTGCTTTACTTTTCTTTATAAGAGTTAAAAGTTAGACCCAGCAGCTGGTCACCTTGCTTAACTACTAATGTCAGTTAAATAGTACTACAGTCGAGCTTGTTAACACTAGCTAGCATTATTCTTCATAAGCTACTGGTCATTTTCATAGACTATGTAAAAGAAGTGGATGCAGGATCTGTGTCTAAAAAGTAAAGGCAGTGCAGATGTGTCCTACATTTGCATTCTTTGTAATGGCCAGCAGGGGGCAGTTCTACTGGCTCCTAAACAGTCTGAGGTTTTAGAAGTCTATGGGAAAGCTATGTTACTTTTCCCTTTGTTTATAATCTCAGTTAGGATTTTCCAAAGTAGTGTATAATCTCAATCACTAGTTTCAAGTCTTCTTTAAAACATCAGTGTTCATTTTCGTAAATTATAGTCCCATGTAGGAGAAAATAGAGCATAAAGCAAGTCGCTACGTATTAGGATGCAGTGCCCTTGGATTCTCAGTCACATCCACTCCTTCTCTTTTGACATCTGGTTTAAAAAAACATCAACACATCAGAAGCCAAATGCTCAACTCGAGACTTCAAAAACCAATATCACAACAGTTACATCTACTTTAATAGAATCGATAGTCACATCAGTGTAGCTGTACTAAAACCCCCATTTTTATGCTTCATTTCTTTAAATAAAAAGATAAACATTGTTAGAAAGAAACTGTATGATAAGATAAACTATGCAAGCAATGAGAAGATCATCGGCGTTATAAAGAGATTCGTTCAGAAATCAGACAGTGAGATATCACACACTCTCTTCAGTTTGTTTCAGTTCTCTATCTCTTTCCCCCATACAGACATAAACACTCTCACGGATATTTCTATGAATTAATCCATGGTTTTATTAAAAATTGTAGTTAAGGCTCCTTACCTGTCTGTGTATTTTACAGCTATTCATGCAAATTGACGCCCTTTATCCCAAGAGGTTCGGAACCTGGACTGACTATGCCAAAAAATACTGCAATGCCCATTACAGGTGACATTTTTCTAAATTTCTGCATATTTTATTGTTGTTCCTATTAACATGAACCGCAATGCTAGTTTACATTTTATATAACTGTATTTGTGTGTTATGTCAGCATTTTTGTTATTCAAATGCACTTTGTTTATATCGTCCAGAGTATTACCCAAGAACATGATATTAATAGTACCTAGAGCTAGGAGAGTGTTAGCTTAGCCAAGCATAAAGACAGGAAGCTAGAGTAAATAGATAGCCTGACACTGGAACAGTTAAAAGTACAAACACTGAAGCACAAAATAATATGTGAAAAGTGTGTGTGTGTGTGTGTGTGTGTGTGTGTGTGTGTGTGTGTGTGTGTGTGTGTGTGTGTGTGTGTGTGTTGTGTTGTGTGTTGTGTGTGTGTGTGTGTGTGTGTGTGTGTGTGTGAGTGAGAGAGAGAAATAGCTACCTATTGTTTTTTTTGTTTTGTTTTTGTTCATTTGTTTTTTTATGCTAGGCTAAGCTAAAAGTGTTCCGGCTCTTAGATTTCTCTTCACAGCATACACTCCACAACAATTTTAATATTGAAATTGGGAAGCATTATTGTCGTATTGATTTGCCTGTTTTAACCTAGTATTACTCCGCATGGTATCACGCACATTTCTATGCCTCGACAGCTAGAGATAGAAGCGTTAGCGACGCTGAAAGCTATATTTATGTTCAATTTAAGTAGAACTGCCACATCTTCCATACCACACAGTGAAAATGAGACACACGGGTGTTGGGTTAGCATATCTCTAACCTTTTGTAGAATTGAGGTTGTGTGGTGTATCTGAAAACATATGTACAACAGAAAAATGAAAACATATTCAGGTACAGGGTTTTGGGTCTTGATCTCTGCAGCTCCTTAAAAGGATATTTCAAATTGGACGTTTGCTCAGACAGGATGAGCTGATCAGGTTTTGGAGATTGGTGGTCATAAAAGTCTCTGTGACCTTTTTAACAATTTTTGTGACCTGCCAGGAAATTTCACACGCATAGCATAGTGAAGTAGTGCTATTTAAACCACGTGCACAGTGAATTTGTGATATTCAGGGCTACCATTTCTTTGGCCATTATTCAACACTATTATTCAGGAACAGAAGGGACGATTGTGAGCACGTTTTATGTTGGGTCAGAAACCAGAAACTGAATTTGTGGCACTAATCTTTAAAAAATCTTTAATTAAATTCCTTAAATCAAAGTCTTTGCTTTATTTAGTTTGGACAGGCGTAGAAATGAAGTGCAACCTGATTGATGGTGGAGGCATACAACTCATTTACGGTGGTAACTGTACATTGATGAAAATTGATTGACACAAATCAGATGTTATTGAATCCGCACCTTTTGAACCTATCTTACTGTGCCTGCATTTAAGTCCACTATCACCAGATTGAAGTGTACTCATTCACTGTTTATCTGCAGTTCTGTGGAATTAGCACAGTTTCAGTCCTTCTCACCTACCATTTAATTGTGTCTGCTGGGATAAGCCGGCCTATACCTGAGCCTGGATTGGTGGTGCTGCTGAGTTGATGGTTTGTTGTCAAAGCCAGACTGCAACTGAAGCCAAGCGCTAAATGCCAACTGGCTGCCAGTTTACAGTGATGATTGGTTACATGTGTGAACAAACACATCAAATGCATTGTTTTGGATGTCCATCAAAGTCAGCAGCTCGGTCAGGGAATGGCTTGGCGCCATTAAATATAATGCTTTGTGTCTAAGAGCGCTTGGTGTGGCTGGGGAATGCCTTTCTAAGTCACACGTATGCACTCTCTCACGCACACTCAGAGGAGTGCAAGGCGGTGCCATCTGAGTGCAATCTTCCCTTCTTGTTTCTTACATAAAGTTGAGGTTGCTGTGGGAAACGGCAGCAGCAGAGGTGAAAGGAAAAACAGCACTGCAGCTGGAGAGATGCTGGTTCAAATCTGCACACAAGGGGGAAACATTATTTTAGAAAGAATGAGTTAGTTTCCCATCCTACACCAATTACAGCTTTAAACAGAGAAGTGTGAAACAGCCAATTTTGGCAGTGCCTTGTTAAGTTTGTCCACACTTCCAGCCAATATGGCAGATAACCAGCCTTTGTGTGGGGGGCCAGTTCTATTCTAAAAGTCCATTTGGCTGATGAATTGTGAAAGTTGCCCGTGAGTTTTGGAATAAACCTGCTGCTGTGGCCATTAGGCAAAATAGTTTCCTGCTTTGCAAAGTGCCCTTAAGCAAAAAGGCAAAAAAAAAAAGATTCCCCAACTGCTCCAACAGAGCTGCTTAACAGTAAACGATGGAAGGCTGTTCTAGTGCTGGGCAGCTCCCAGGTGGGAATGTTTAAATGTTTAACTATTCCTTCAAGGCACTGCTGCAAGTAAATAAGTGTGGTTTCTTGGGAAGTGCATCTCAGTTAGAGGTGTATGTATAAAAAAGTTAGCAGGCACAACTTCATCACTTATTTATTCTCTCACAGGTATTTTGGGCCTCGCAGGCAGTGGGACTGTCGCGGGGCGTCCAACTTGGATGAGCTGCACCAGCGGCTGAGTCAGATCATGATCCGTCGTCTCAAAGCTGATGTGCTCAGTCAGCTGCCCCCCAAAATCCGCCAACGTATCCCCTTTGACCTGCCCAAGGAAGCTGCAAAGGTAGACGTGGGTGACGCACGTCACATGTGAAGACAAGTAATGTGTATTTGTGTAGTTTCTGTAGTATATTTGGACTACAGATGAATCATGAACTGGTTGTTTGGTCAGCTGATAATAATCTGTGCATTCTATTTTGTAAGATAAAAGAAAAAAGAGTGCCTGTTAAGTTGGACAGTTTCCAGATTTTTTTAAAAGTGGAGTTATTATTTATTTTAAATGTTCTGAGTTAATTGATCTATTGTGACAACTTCTCAAAATTCTCAACACCTCTGAGTCATTGGAACGCTCAGTGCAAGTCTTGACATCTCCCGTCTGACTCGTGGACCTCGTTGCTTTTGAAGGACTTTTTTTAGAATATAAATTGATGTCAAACATTATGTCTTTGTTTCTGTAACCACGCGGCAACACGTCGCTGGCAGCTCCATTCACGTTATCTAATTCTTTCAGCTACTGACAAAGCTAAATCAGTCCTGTTTTCAGAGCTCTGCGGTGTCAAGGTCTGCTTGTATCCTTTTGTATAAAACTCGCCCACAATCGGCAGAGCAGAAGCGAGTTTGGCGAATCCAACTCGAAGAGGGTCATGTGAGAAAACCTCTGAAAAAAGTGTGAGAGATTTCTGCTGAATAAAAACAAATATTTTCACATGTGTTTATTATAGCAAACGGAATATTTGCAAGTTTATGGTTTTACAAAACCAACATGTAGATGAGGTCACTTTGTGCAATTTCCTGATATTTTATAGACAAACAATGAACAGATTAACTAATAATTAAGCACAGTTCCTCAGTTAATCAGTCTCCTTTGGCCTCACTGTGAGGAGCTGTGCTGCTGCACTTGGTTCAGTCACCTGGTTATTTCTTTCTCAGAGAAAAATGCCTGTTACTCCTTTAAGATTAAATAACTCTCTGTTAGTCTAAGCTTAGCAATGAGGTCTCTGTGTGCTTGCTATTTTTCCTCCATCATATAGAAGATACCAGGGTATTTGTAGAGTAAATGTCATGTTTTGTGTGTAGGTGTTTGGATCTCTTTTAGCTTCCCCAAAGTTGTAGTTGCGGTTTCTGCCTCCCACGCCGCACTGGATCCATGTGAATGTACACGTGAATGCCAATATGGCTTTGGCCCGGCTTGTGCGCAAGTTAGTGTGTCTCCTCTGCTCTATGCATAGGTCACTGAGGTCAAGGATTACCAGTAGTTAGTTTCCAACTGGAAGCACCCACAGCAGCACACACTCAGAAACAACCACTGAGAGGCTTTTGTTACATTTTCTATCATTCAGTTTGTTTTCAGAAAAGCTGGAAGGCTGTATAAAATGAAAGCATAATCACCTGATTTGAAATCCATCTAAAATCTGTATTTATTTGGAAATAACACAAAAACAACATATCAGATGTTGAAGCTTCTTCGTCTTCTTCTCTTGCCTTCTCCCTTTAGGGCTTGCCAAAGCAGATCGTCTGCCTCCATATCATCCTATCCCTGCTATTGTCCTCTGTTAACCAAACCCTCTGCATACGCCCCTTCACTGCATCCACTCTGAGGTCTTCCTCTCTTCCTCCTGCCTGGTCCAAAATGCTCATACTGAGCTGTCCCTCTGATGCACTCCAAAACCTAACATCTTCAACTCTGCCACTTCCAGCTCAGCCATTGCATTACATCACTACCAACTTCACACTTCCATTTTAGATACTCAACAAAACCTAAACCCGAGTAAATGACATCATCGTGATGTTTATCAACTTCCTCTGTTAGGCCAGGCTTTCTGCTTCAGCGTGCGTGTATGTCGGTTATTCATGCAGTGAGCACCACCTACTCCGGTCAAAGTCAGAGACTTTATATTAAGATGCACAAGAGCTGCAGAACGTTTTTGTTTTGTCAATTAATGTTCATCGTGCATCATCAGTAAAATAAATATGTTACATTGTTGCTCGATGTGCTCTCTGTGCTGCTGTTTATTTCTAACATCACATCAGCACATTAGAAACTTTCTAAAGCGAGACACATTTCAACATTAAATATTACTCAGTGTTTCAAGTGTGACTCTGCCCCATAACCTAACGAACGAGACTTGTTGCCAGATCAAAGTGAAATAAAGTGTTTGATTGGAAATTTTTGGCAATAAATAGCCTCAAGATCATAACGATCCGTTTTCTAATCTGACCTCTATTAGCTGCAGTTTGAGCAGCGTAGAGGAGACTTAGCAGGATGAGGATCAAACATTAAAAACATTTCTGCATGACCAACTGGATCCATACAAATTCCAGTGAAAATGTGACACAGTTTACACTGCTTCAACTTTACAGCTGGGAATCATTTGGTTTTATCAGTACGATATGGCTCATTAGGTTCCTTGTATAAAATGTATTCCTGCAGCAGATAATATATATAGCACTTAGAGCTTACTGTAAATAAAAAAAGTCTGTGAAAGTGTGTTGTTTCCAGATGATTTAAGTCAAAGCTCTGAACATAACCTGCTACAGACAGTTCTGTGTTCAGAATAAGTTTTGAGAAATTACTGAGAACTTGACTTGCAGCTTAACATAGCATGCTAACCCATCAATCGTGTTCTATAGTACAGTATAGGCCTTTGGTTAAAGAAGAGAGAAGCCATGTGATCCTCCTTGATGATGTCAGATACACTTTCATATGACCATCACTATTAAACACTAAATGATATATACTGAGCAGGGATAAGATTATGACCACTGACAGGTGAAATGAATAACTGATAATCTCTTCATCATGGCACCTGTTCGTGGGTGGGACATATTAGGGAGTGTTAGAAGCAGGAAAGATGGGCAACCGTAAGGATTTGGGCCAGTTTGACATGGAGCCAGACTGTGATGGGTAGATGGCTAGTTCTCAGAAACTGCAGCTTTTGTGGGGTGTTGCCAGTCTGCAGTGGTCAGTATCTATCAAAAGTGAAGGAACGGTGATGAACCAGTGACAGCGTCATGGGGCCTAGGCTCATTGATGCATGTGGGGTGAGGACCAAAGGCTGGCCTGTGTGGTTGGATCCATCAGAAAACTGTAATGCTGGTTCTGATAGAAAAGTGTGAGAATACACAGAGCATCACAGTTTGTTGCATGTGTGGCTGCATAACCCCTTAACCCTTTGTTAAAACCAAAACCCCCAACGATGTTCATATGAGCATCAGAACTACACCATGGACCAATGGAAGGTCTGATGAATCACACTATCTTTTACATCACTTGGGTGTTCAGGTGCTTCGCTTGCCTGGTGAACACTCGGAAGCAGAATGCACGATGGGAATAAGCTACCCAAAGAAACCTTGGGTCCTGCCATTCACATGGATGTTACTTTGACACGTAGCACCCACCTAAGCATTATTTCAGACCACGTACACCCTTTCGTGGAAACAGTGCTCCTTGGTGGCTGAGGCCTCTTTCAGCAGGATAATGGGCCCTGTCACAGAGCAAAAGTGGTTCATGAATGGTTATAGGAACCGTGTATTAAACACTAACAAGAAAACATATTTTCTTCTTCTTCAAAAAGAAATCTAATTTTTTTAACATTTGATATAAAATATCTGCATTATTTTTATTTATATATAAGCTTCAAATGTTTTGGAAGTCATTGCATTCTGTTTTTATGGGCACATATTGCAGATACAGCGTCCCAACTTTTTTGGAAACAGTCTCGTATTAGCAGGAGTGGAAAATGCTGCAGGAGCTTTTTCTGTGCTAATTACTCACTGAGCCATCGCAGGAATGACACAACAATGAGTTTCTTAAAAAGTGATGATCTAGGATTTTTACCCCTATTCTCCCTAAATGTTAGGGGACAGTAATTGGGGACTAAATATGGTTGGTGGGTGTTTTTTGTTATTTTACATAGAGCCACCAATTAAGCCACATGTTGTAAAGATTCGTGTCATGTGTTGGAGTTGCTCTCTCTCATCTGCATTGGGCTGAAACAAGATGCGTAATATCCTCAGAGAAAACGACCTCGGAGATCATTTTTCTTTGGTGGGAAAACAAAAGAGCACGAGTTGTTCTGCTTTGCAGTTTTTGCCTTTATTTTTGTTCGTGAGACAAATCTGCAAGTTTTTTGTTTGTTTTTTTAACACATTTCTGCTAAGAAGAATAGACAGGCGTTTCATCCTCACAGCTAAATGGACTGGTTTCAGAGATGAGAAAAGGAAGTGTGAAACGGCCAGTCACCCGAATCCACATCCATTTTGCCTCCCACAGGCAGGAAAATGTGAACAATATAAAACATAAAAGACCGAGTGGACGTTATTTTCCCTCTAAACAAACTGTCTTTTTGAAGCCTCATTTTGCTAACTGACAATATATACTGTACTGTATCTGTATACCAGGAGCACTCACCAGTTCATTCCTCCTATCTCATTTTACTCCCTAATGATGGCTTTTATCTTCCACAGCCAGACACTTTTTATGCCCCACCTGCCCTTTACATTTTCAGCCTTGGCCTTTAGTCAGTGTTAGTCTGGTGAATATCATCGAGGGTGGAGTGCTTAGCCACTCAGGGTTTTTTTTTCCTCTAGCACATTATAAAGAAATGCCTAAATGTACAGTTTTAATTAGGAAAAAAGCACGGCTCCAACTGTGTTTATGCAGGTGCTTCTGAGTGAAACATCTGAGGGCGAAAAACATGAAGGAAGCGCAGCTTTGTGCTCCAGCAATACGATACTATTTATTCATTCAGCCGTCCTTGACTTTGACGAGGTTTCGAAGCCACTGAAATGCAAATTTTTTCACTAAATGGTGCAAAGCTTTCATGTAAGGAGTCCAGAAAACACAGTGCGGGAAATGCAGTCGTGAAACTTGCTTCCCGACGAAGCCTGTGCGTGCATTAATAGGGTTTCTCTCCAGTTCTCACACCTCTTCCTCCCCCCCCCCCTTCCCCTCTTTGACCCACCTCACCATTATGTGTATGTATGTGCTTAATCAGGCGCAGCCCACCTCCACCTTCCATCGCTCTGCCATATGGTTCACAGTTTTGCATCATTTGATATGCAGCGCTTTAAGAAAGTGTTTGTTGCTGCTGAATTTTTTTACACATTCACTGCTGTCAGACGTTGCAGCTTGAATTAAGACAGCGAGGTGATGAACAAGAGGCCCAAAATAAGCTCTAATCACAAAGCAATTCAAAGTTAGCAGTTTGGAGGTTGAAAAAGCCAAGGAACTTGACAACTATTTCCAAGCCAAATTTATTGCAGAAGGATTGACTCAAACTTTCCCCGTGCTACTTTTCATGCCCGATTTCTATATAATTATCTTGTCTTGTACTAGAAAGTCTTAAAAAAGAAAAACATGCTGTTCCTGAGTGGTGTTTTTATGATAAACAAGGCTAACCTACATGTCGGCAACAAATGCAGAGCTTCTCTGTGTGTCTTGTTTATGAGTGGGGAGGCAGCATATGCTGCTCTTCGCTGGCAGCCTTTCCCACTGCGATCCTCTCCCACTCTCCTCTCCCGCCTTAAATACTTCTCGCCAATCACCTTGAGAGTACGCGAGGCGTCTTTGATTTATTGTACCGGCCGGGCTGCTTCTCCATCTTCGACCCCGACTTGTCACAAGGCAGCTATAATTGGGAGATGCTCGTGACCCACCTAACACAGCAGCCCAGTCGGAGGGGGTGGCATCCTTGGGAATTCTCCATCTCTCTCGCTCTCTCTCGCTGGCATTTTTTTCTTTTCTCCCTCTTTCTTTCTTTTTCTTCCAGGAAAAGTAGGACACCCAGCAGCACTATTAATTGTTTTGCCCTTTATATCTCAAAAACAGTAGAGAGAACAAGAGCGAGAAAAGAGTGGGTGAAGAAGTAAAGGACGCAGCCTCAATGTCTTTGCCCTCTTCTTGCTTTGCAGGAGGCCTCGGCTAGCTTCGCCGAGTGGGAGAGGCTGATGAAGAGCCTGGGGTCGGGGGCTGCTACGACGGACACCCCCTTCACTCAAGTCATGGGCCTGGTCACGCAGATGTACAAGCAAACAGCCATCGCCAAGGTAAAGGAAGACCAGCTGCTGTTATATCTTACATACAGGAATACCTTTGAAAGATGAAGCAGGGGATTTTTCTATTGTGTGGGGTATTCAAAGCCCCATAGGGCCGCATTGTTGTCCAAATGATCAATGAGCAACACTGTTGCTCTGGTGGCATGTTACTTCATTACCATGAATACACATACTGTAGTTTATCAATCCCACACACACCATCCATTCTCACAAATGCACCACAGTCCAAAAATAGTCCCCATCAGAGACGCTATAACCTGTTGTTTGACTAATGGATTTTAAATATTACCTCTCCAGCTGGTTTTTTTAAATTAGTTAGCATTTTTTATCCATAAAACTGTTGCACCAATCGTGGCCTTGCATACACACAGAATAAGTTATGAGTGAGATCATCCAACTGGATGACGGATATCCAGCAGTTCTTCTGCATATGTGTTGTTCTGTGGTGTTACTATGAAGAAAAGAGCTTTCTGAATATTAGCATTATAGGTATTGGCTCAGAGCAGGCCGAAAACTAATTTTCCCGCAGTGTAATATTATTCAAGGTTTTTTCAAAAGTCCTAAAAAGTTAAATTTTAATTAAAAAATAAAGTTTTTGAAAAGTATTTCATTTTTTATGTGTTTTAAGACTAGTAGTTAAAATCAAAGCCAATGAGATTTTATTATGCAAATCATTTTTTAAAACTTTTCCTTTTTTTAATGTTATTTGTTTGAAGTCCTTCTACACATTTATTTACAGACTAGGGATCACAAGCCTAACAGAGCAGGGGTAGACAACTGCAGGCCTCGAGTGGCAGTGTCCTGCAGGTTTTAGATGTCACCCTGGGTCAACACACCTGAATCAGATGATTAGTTCATTACCGGGCCTCTGGAGAACTTCAAGACATGTTGAGGAGGTCATTTAGCCACTGAAATCAGCTGTGTTGGATCAAGGACACATCTAAAGGCTGCAGGACCTTAAGGCCTGGAGTTCCCCACCCCTGATCTAGGACATTGGTTTGTCGTCACTACCAGTAAGAAGAGTAATGCAGGCTGTACCAAGAAAACAGCGAATGTCAGATATTATATCAGCTTGTTTATGATTTATGACTGAGCCTACACCATAAGCCAATCCAACAGTTTTAGAGTCTATATTTTTTGTCGAACCAAAAGTCAATAATTAAAAGAAGAGCATCAAATACGATATTGTAATGATTATTGCACTGCTATGTGCCGACTTTTCAGGCTAACAGATGTCAATAACTTTGTCTCTGACCTGTTTCTTATCTGGCATGATGTGTTAGCTTACTTTGCTTCTATTTAAGTTTTTTGTCCTCACCTTATCCATTAAACCATCACAGCACATGCCTGCCCCACCCTGAGCCTGGTTCTCCTGGAGGTTTCTTCCTGTTAAAAGTCTGTGGAGGTTCTCAGTCATCCAGGTCATCGTAGTCAAAGGAGCTTGCAAAGAAAAGCGTCTGGACTTCTTTAAGTTGCTTGAAGACGTTTCGCCTCTCTTCCGAGAAGCTTCTTCAGTTCTAAGGGTCAAATGGTGGGGAGTCCCAGATTTAAACCTAGTGGGAGTATCCCCCCACAGAGTAATTAATAATTAATTAATTCACATGATAAGGTGGGGCCAGGTTTCACAATGAACTCACCTGAAACCCTGGCTGATTGGGACCCACACCCATTTTCACACCTTGGCTCAGGCGATTAGAGGATCATCAGGGGGTCCTTTTGTCCCTCTGTGGGGGGATACTCCCACTAGGTTTATATCTGGGACTCTCCACCATTTGACCTTAGAACTGAAGAAGCTTCTCGGAAGAGAGGCGAAACGTCTTCAAGCAACTTAAAGAAGTCCAGACGCTTTTCTTTGCAAGCTCCTTTGACTTCCTGTTAAAAGGGTGTTTTTCCTTCCCACTGTTGCCATGTGTTTGCTCATAGGGCAGGCTTGGCTAACTTCAGGCCTGGAGGTCCGGTGTCCTGCAGGTTTTAGACCTCACCCTGGGTTTACACACCTGAATCAAATGATTAGTTCATTACCAGGCCTCTGGAGAACTTCAAGACATGTTGAGAAGGTCATTTAGCCATTTAAATAAGCTATGTTGGATCAAGGACACATCTAAAACCTGCAGGACATCGGCCCTTGGGGCCTGGGTTTGGACCCCCCTGTGATAGGGGTTCATGTTATTGCTTCTTCTGTATTATTGTAGGGTTTTTACTGACTGTTGTTTGGTGCAGGATGAATTGAAATTGTTGGTACAACAGATCTGCTACACTCACGCCTGAGTGTAGCTTGTGAAATCAAAGTCTGTAGTTAATTCATGATTTAACAAAGGGAGGATTGCTTTTTTTCCACCTAATAAATGCATTTATTCTAGCCATCTTTGTCTAATATTACAATTTGTTTCATAATCTAAAACATTCACGTGTGAAAAATGTGGAAAAACCTAAGAAAGCAGGAAGGGGGGGAAATACTTAATGCACTCAGTCTTCTGTTGGTGCAAGTCTACTTCCAGCGTTTACTGTTGTGACCACTAGCCCTGCTGTAGTGGCTACAGGCTGTACAAATGTAAACTTTTCAGCACCCCTGAAAACACAACCTTGGTTTCAATATGACCACTAAGCATTCATACATTTATTTAACACTGTGGTTCAAGTTTCAGAACATAGAAGGGAAGCATACTGAATGTGATTTGAGAAAAACAGGAAAATCTGTTTTAATCAGTATCAAGAAAATGTGGTTAAATCGATCATTCTTGTTCTTGTCTGAAAGAGCTGAAAGAGCTGACAGTTTAGGAAAAGTTTAAAGACCGCTTTGACATTTAGGAAAGAGAACATTAATACTACTAACATGTCTGTCTATTCTGTATGATGCTAGACCTGGAAATAGTATCTATTGGGAGTTCATCACTGAGGTTTCATTTTTCATTTGAACAGTAATGAACAGAAATTAACAGAAAACACTAAAATAATTTAAAGTATTTGAAATTACTATCATTTTAAATATTTTACATTGTTACTGATTTCTACTGCTAGAAAAACTAGCCTCAGCTGATGCTGAATTCTTTGAATAATCACGATACCAGTTTATAGGAAGTAGAACAAGACACTTTATTCCTATTGGCTGTCCCAAGCCCAGGTACATGGGAAGGTTTGTGTCAGAAATAATCTTGAAGGAAGAGTATGTGAAGAACAGGATTATGAGTTTGAAGTTGTTACATTACACGTGCCCCACAGGTTGGATGTCAGAAGAGAAATTGGAATTGTGGAGTAGGTCGGATGAAGTGGTAGAGAGTGGTCGCAGGTGGAGAGAGTGGTGATCGTAGTGGGCTTCAGTGGACATGGAGGTGAAGGGAACAGAGTTGAGATGTTTGGTAGATTTGGTGTTAAGGAGAGAAATGCAGAAAGCCAGATGTCGTGGATTTTGTGAGAGGGTCGAAGGTAATGTATAAGAGTGGAGGAAGGTGCACACAGGTGGACTACATCTTATGCAGAAGGTGCGGATTTAAAGAGATAGGAGACTGCAAGGTTGTGGCAGGTGGGAATATAGATGGGCATCATTAGATAATAGTCTGTAAGAAAGTATTCATAACCGCAAATCCCTATTTATATCTATCTATACTCTACTTCATAACCAGGTGGGATTTCATCTGTGATTTGGCTATGAGCCCCTTCTTGTTTGCAGTGGTGGTGGACAGGGTGACAGTCGCTGTTTCTTGTCCTGCCTCCCTCCTCTCACCCCCAGCAGGTTGTGGCAGGTGGCTGGCCCTCCCTGAGCCAGCTTCTACCAGAGATACTTCCTGTTTAGAAGGGAGTTTTTCCTTCCACTTTTGCCAACTACTTGCTCATCTGATTGTTGGGGTTTTCTCTGTATTATTGCTGGGTCTTTATCTTATAATATAAAGCGCCTTGAGGTGACTTGATGCTATATAAATGATTAATTTAATTTAATTAAACTGAATGAGATTGAATTGAAATCAATAACTGTTTCGATTGTTTTCCCTAGTGTAGAGTTGTCTACCTTCCCCTTATCTTTAAGGTGACTTTCCTCTGCCACACCTCATAAAAATAAGTTATGTGCAGCTGGTGGGTGGGGCTTCTGTCCTGACAATGGCCATGGTGGTGTATCTGTTCTCATTGACATCATACAGATAGATGTAAGAGTAGGAAAAAACTGCAAAACAGGGTATTTCTTGAACACAAGCTTGCTTCATAATTTGATACTTAGTATTTACCATTGTAACAATATGTGGCTATAACTGAAAATAGGAAAATACATTGTTGTTCACATTAACCTTCAAATATCTCACAAGCAACAAACCCAGAGCCATACATTATATCACCCAAATAGCTTAAAAATTAGCTCGATGATGTTGTTTTTTTATTAATTTTCCTATTTCAGGAAATGGTGAATTGATGGCACAGCATCATTCTCAGAGCGCTTGGCCAACCACTCAGTGAGATCTCATGGGAAAATCATTGCCATGGTAACAGAACCTAATGGTTGCCAGTGAAAGCACTTAGACAAAGTAGGGAGTTATAACTGAGGTATTATTTTGTTGCGTCCAGCCTGGCATGATTACCCCTTATATCAAAGTTACACACCGCACTAAAATAGCATCTCTGTGATGTTGTTGCTATGGAAACTCGGTCGGCTCTCTGAAGTGACTTCTTTTTTTCTTTTTAATGAGAGCAATATGGGAAGGTGGCATTTAGTCTAAGGAAGGCCGGCGGGGGAGGGGGGTCAGAGCAACTAGTGTTGAGAATCTAACATTTCCTGTTCGTCAGTGGAAGCATTTTTACACTAATATAGCTTTCAACCTCTGTTCCGCTTCTAGCTTCTTACCAAGAGAACAGGCAGTTCCCTAGTCTCTTATATTTGTAGCTGAGCAAACAGTTCCACCAGATATAGTATCCCTCTCCAATCATCTGCCATGTTCGAGGGCTGGCATTCCTCTCAATTAGCCCAGCGCCCTCAGCCATGAGGAGTGTGGCCCCGAGGTTAACGAAGAGCGGAGATAACCACTGAACACAATCATCGACACGCTACCCGCTCAGCCTGCCTCCAAGCTTGGATCTCTTTTGCGCTTGGTGTTGTTTGCTGATTGGATTTCTGCTCAGTTTAGCCTAACACTGGACCTCCTTTCATTACAAAGCCCCCACCCACACCGACCTGCTCTCCCACCTCAAAGCCGATACTGCCGGCCTAGTCTCATTTCCTCTGCTACTGGTTCACACTTTCTCTACTTCCGAGAAAGAGAGGGGAAAAAAAAGAGAAAGCTTGCTTTATTCTTTTTTTGGATCATCGAGAGGGGTGGAACGGTATGATAGATTCACACATCTATGTCACTCTGACAAGCATCACGGCCCCTGCCTGCCAGTCCGCCTGGCGACGAAGCTGCCAAACGCCTTTGGGGTATTTTTGTTGCTTTACCCGCCAAGCATCTGCTCCCAATTACCCAGAGAGGACAGCTCTGATGCTGGACTTTAAAGCAAGCTAACGGGCCGCTTCAGACAGCCGAGAAGTTTGTGCACTAATTAAACTCAGCGGAAGGAAGACGGCGAAGCCGAGCCGTCAGTAATGAGGACCCCCCAGATCAGAACAGGGTCGGGCAGGCCTGGCGGAGAGATTCATTATCAGGCGCATCGGCTAATTATCAGCAAGGCGAAGCAGAGGTTCTCCCACCAGAGCATCAGGTGTGTGATGGCTGCAGAGGTTGTCAGCTTGCAGGAGGTGCGGAGATTATAGGGTGGACTTCACACCACAGAGAAAGGGCCTGTCTCCAAAAACCGTCTAGTAAGGGCTCTGTTTGACTCAACTCAAACCTCAGAATTTCTCACTAGTTGGTGCTATTCTTGGCTGCTTTATGGCCCGGGGCTCTGAAATGAGCCGAGTACGGATGCTCAATGACACGCTCGTACAGCTCTTGCAGAAGGTAGCGGGGAGCAGGCCACAGCCATCACAGTGTGATCGCTGGGCACCAGCGCACGGTGAAATGATAGATACAGATACCTGCAGGCTACAGTTACCTCACTGTGCCGCTTCCTTTTTAGGTTGTTAGACTCACACCGTCAATCAAGGTCAGAGGCTTTAGCAGAAAACAAACAAAAGTGCATTAAACTTGGACTGTGATGTTTTTAGGGGGGGTTAAGCATTATTACCATTTGACTTCATAAATCAGAAGCCTGACATGAAGGAGGAAAAAAAAATGTGGTTATGCAAAAAGTAAAATGAGCAAAAACTTTTATATCCTGCATTAATTCCAGGCTTCAGCTGTCACTTTTGATAGGTAATAATTCTTAGGAGTGTTTGCAAGTCCTGAATGTGTTCACATATAAAATCTCCTAAAATATCAGCCCAGTCAAATACCTGATGATAGTTACATTATTAGGAAATAATAATGCAATAATAATAAAGTGCTATGGCCTCAATAAAGCTGGCGATAAAAGTTCAAACTGTCAGTTTGTAAACCCGTTAGTAGGGCTGCTACAAACGATTATTTTGATAGTCGGCTAGTCACCGATTATTTTTGCGATTAGTCGACTAATCAGATCATGCATCCATTGGACGTAAAACTTATTGCACCAGCATGCATCTGCTCTTATATAACTATCATTAGCTTACAGCTTTAAGTGTTTAAGGTGCTAACTAAAAATAAAGACAAGATGATAGTTTGTTAAATTTTAATGACATTTGAAGCTTTAAACTCAGCCGTCTGCTCCTTGCTATCTAAAATATAACGGGACACCAGAGTATATTCTCGAGCATCTCACACTTCTGATAATCAGTTGTCTGCTTGACGTTTATTAGCTGTGTAAAAACTATAACTTTAATCTCATCCAAACTCATTTACTAAGGAACAAATAAAACACTGAAAAAAGCCAAACAATAACATTTTTTAGTTATCTAAGTGACTTATATTACATGTTTAACCTGAGTAACGAAAGACCGCGGGGGGTTTGAAATTGATTTGCTGGGAGTTCAGTGTTCTCATCGGCTCTAGTGACCATTGAACCCCGGTTAGCTATCGAGCTGGTGGGTAACAGACGTCTCCGAAAACGTCAGAGCGCTTTTGAAAATATGTGATGTCTTGATAAACTGAGCAGATATTTGAGGTTTACACAGCTACATTCTTGTCTGAAAATATGTTAAAAGTTTATTTTGTGACCCAGAAAGAATAATAAGAGTAATATTAAAACTAACTAGCTGCCGCCATTGTTGGAAACTGGAATTGGCTGGGCCACGCTATGAATTCTGGGATAGGTTGGGCCACGAAGGATACACCCGACCCATCCTTCAAATCTCAGGAAATGAAGGGCGCATTTGTCGGAGTCTTCTAATTTGGACAGGCTTCGTCGTGTCGCTGTAACGTAATTGGCCTACAAATGTGGGCACAGGAGGATGCGGTTCCTGAATTTGGACACAGCTACAACACTGCTTCTTCTTCTTCGGGGTTTAACGGCAGCTGGCATCCTTGTACATGCAGTGCTGCCATCTTCTGTTTCAGTCCATTATTACACTCTTAAATCCTACTACTTATTCCTGCGTCTTTTGGGATCTTGCAAAGCTTCAAACGACGCATCGACTATTAAATCAGTCGTCGACAATTTTGATAGTCGACGTAATCGCGACTAGTCGACTAATCATGGCAGCCCTAACTGTTAATATTGCTGCTTCATCATCTGACTTTGTGTAAATGACACCATTAATATCTGCACATAGTGTATGATATATATATACCAGTGATAGGCCAATATCAGCTGGTGAGATCAGTTTTGGCAATATGTGACATAAAAGGTCTTTATTTTATTTTATTTTTTAAAATCCTGTTCATGTATGAAAAGGTGAGTTTTGCTTGTTTGTTATTGTCACCGAAATTAAAAAACAGAAATTCCAAAAACACACCAAGCATAAGCCAAGTTGTGAGTTATTGATTTGACTCTTGGTATCTCCGAGCTGACAAATGCGCCCCAGTCGCTCTGTGTGCACTTTCCTTTTAAAGTCTGGATCCCTGGCATTCAATAGAGAATCGATCACACGGAAAGGATGCCGCGGTGATTAATTGACTTCTTCACTGATCTCGCCGCTTCCTCAGTGTGTGGTCGACTGGTGAAGTGATGGATTCAGTAGCTCTCTTTCATCTGTGTCTATTTTTGTGTGTGTGTGTGTGTGTGTGTGGCCAGGCGGGAGCTGTGAAGGACTACATTAAGATGATGCTGGAGGCAGAGCAGCTGAAGTTCCTGGTGTTCGCCCACCACCTCACCATGCTGCAGGCCTGCACCGAGGCCGTCATCGAGGCCAAGGTAACCTCGGGCACTCTGCGGGCAACTGGAGCTTCTAAAATGTGTTAAAGCGGCAGTAAGCAACGGCTGTGGTGGTGCCTGTAGGATGTGTAGCAACACTGGCAAGAGGTGTGTGAATTATTTGAAATTCTAAAAGCTGCTAGCTCAGGTTCAAGTATAATTAATTTTGTAGTATGCTGCTGCTTCTCCTGGAAATCTCCATACAGAACAGTCTGTTCCATATCTCACACGCTAGCTCCAAACTCAGTGACCCACTCAGGCCTCCACTCAAACTCCCCAGCTGTACTTTAATATTCCCCAGGAAGCAGTATGCACCTCACATACTATTGGGTATATACTCAGCGCAGTCAGGAGTATATTAGCATGTAGTTTCTGACACAGCCTGTGCAGCATGCCCATATTAACATCCTACAATGTAACATATATATACTGTATATATTAGGGGTGCAACGATACTCGTATCGATATTGAACCGTTCGATACAGTGCTTTCGGTTCAGTACGCATATGTAT